ATTAGACATTCCGTTCGTCTCCGATGGCTAAAAGCCTGCATGTATTTTGTTCAACACGCCGCGCATGTTTCCGATGGTCTGTGTTGACTGTTTGAATGAAACGTACGTGCTTTTCACTTATTTAGTGAACACGATTTACCCGACTATATGTACAGTCATTATCATAATACTTCATTTAGAGGAGGACTTCGTTCGGTTCTATTTTTGGACTAATGGTCGTGTAGATATTGCGGGAACAACTAAAGATGCCCTCTCAAATACTTTACCGTGGAATAAGCCTTCATCAAATTTGCTTCATTGCCCTATTAGAACAGCATTGGCGCAAGTGGCTTACTCGTTCGGTATATGTCCAGCCTCGAAACAGTATCCCTTACATAAAATATTTAATTTGCGACGGATAAGTATACCTTGGAAATTCCTATTTTTTGAGTAAAATCCACATGTCTTTTTCGTGAAATCTTTGTGGAGACCTATTCACTTTTAGATATTACCATGTTGAGACCTTTACAATATTTTGTTCCATACTATTATGCATCATACTATGTATACAGTTTGTAGGTTTGAAATGTCAAAATTAACACAATTATGAGTATTCCGTTCAGAAAGTGCTGTGATTTATAGATTGTTCGGGTATTCTGAGTGTCCATAAATTATGCATTGCTTGAAGATCTGGTTCGATTTTAGTATTCGCATTGCCTGTCTTTACAAGTAACATACTAGCGAAAGAATAATGAAGGTGGCTATGCGGTGCAGGTCTATCCCTGAGAGAATGAAACCTAAGAGAAGACGTCGACCGTCATGTTTGTTCTTAATTTTGACAGGTCCGAATCTTCTGTTGACTTGGGGCCGGAAAGACCTTTCTGCAACACGAAAATCCCTGTCCTGTGCGATTTTAATCTTTTCTGATCAGCCTGACTCTGTTGGAGGGTTCGCGTCGGGAGAATTATCGAGATTCATCTGAAATTCTCCCTCGGTATATTTTCACCCCGTGCACAGAGTATTCACAATCCTTTGAAGGATGTGTCATTAGAGTACAGATGCATTTGCCAGAGACTTTGTTTGTTTCTTCCGGCTATCTCTTTCCCCCCAAAGACGTAACGCTGCTGGATTGACGAATACTGTTATATGCATTTTTGCCCCGATATGCGTGAAAGCTAGCGTCATGATTCTTATGCAGATAAGCCTTCCTTCAGGGAGGCATAACAAAAATAGTAACAAAGTAATCGTTTTCCTTTTCTTTTTCATGTCAGATTTTCAGAAATGCCTTGTGCGAAGTTAATTTTGAGCAGCTTATAGAATATTTTGAAGACTTCCTTCTTAATATTAATAATGACAAAAATAAAGTTCCTTCCATGGAGTGAAGAATGTTATGGTTGATGTCATGGCAATTGTTTTTGTTGTGAATTGTCGGTTAAAATATTACATTACACACTTTAATTGTGAAGTGAGACAAAAATAGCTGACATTTTGTTTTCAATATTGCGATCAGTGTCATTTTGAGGGTGTTTTTTGTGGGGTTGATGGTTAGGGTTTTTAGGGAAAGAGAGAAAAAGAAGTAGGTTTAATTTTCAAACTTCTTTGGCCGTGGTTTGTGTGTGTGTGTGTGTGTTTTAAATCTTTTCCCCGAATGCTTTTACTGTGAAGTTCTCAAAAGTAAGCATTATAAATCACGCCCCTTTTATTTTCCCTTTCGCTAATTCAAATCAAAATCCCCGCCCTTTTTAGGGGTCGGTAAACCCGTCGTTGCAACCTTCAGTAAGCATATTGTATTTTTGTTTGCATGGATGCTTTGTGGAATGAATGCGCCGAGTCTGTAATCATCGACCTTGTACTTCAAATCAGTGCATGTCTGTTCTAACAGTTACCGGATGTCGTCTTTCCCTGCTATTTTGACAAGACCTGTTATAATTATGGCCAGACCTCGCTACTGTTCTTTTGTGTCTTTACCACACAGCTGAAAAGCCTATAGCGGTATTCATTGGGGGAATAAAAGAGTATACAATGTACATCGCCTTCATTATGTCGTGCTCAGTATATTGCTTTTAAGAATCAAGCCAACGATGTTTGTGAATAATCATGTTTTATTTTTAAAATGTATTTAATTAATATGGGGTTTTCAACCATATGTTTAAAGATGCGCTGTCCATGATCTTCCTCGATGTCACTTTTGTTTTAATTTCTCGCAAAGAATTTTGATCTCTGAGTGTTTTATTTTAACGAAAAAAAAGAAGATTTTTTTCTATTTTGGGCGTTTGCAACCCTCTTGACTTTTTTTCATTTTGCCGACAAACAGATCCTCCCTGCAGAGTAGAACTGACCTCGATGTATCATTTCAAACTGAGTAGCGGTAACTGTTGTATTGCTACATCATAATTTAAAACGGAAATAGTACGGAAGGCACATCTCCTAAGTTTTACCAATGCTGACAAGCCAACATTATTTCGAGTTGTATTTACCCATTCGCTGTGGGGTACTCTTCGCCAGCACTAGTCATCTTGAGGCCTATCAGTGATATCCTTTTCTACTTGGCATATTCATAGTCTCAAGCACTATTCGTCTCAGTGATCTTCGCAATACATATCAGCATCATTATCGCCGCCGTAATCGTGCTCATCAATATCACTATATCGTCATCATGATCATCGTTAGGCTATAGTAATCAACCCCCAACCGAAGCCTTTCATAATCGACACATTCACCGCCGCCATTCCATCCCTATTACCACAATCATCATCGTAAGTACCATAAATTCATCAATATCTCCACCACATCACCATACCAGTATCACCATCCACACCATCACCCAAACCTCTTCCACTAATCATCACCATAAATTCATCAATATCTCCACCACATCACCATTACCAGTATCACCATCCACACCATCACCCAAACCTCTTCCACTAATCATCACCATAAATTCATCAATATCTCCACCACATCACCATTATCAGTATCACCATCCACACCATCACCCAAACCTCTTCCACTAATCATCACCATAAATTCATCAATATCTCCACCACATCACCATTACCAGTATCACCATCCACACCATCACCCAAACCTCTTCCACTAATCATCACCATAAATTCATCAATATCTCCACCACATCACCATTATCAGTATCACCATCCACACCATCACCCAAACCTCTCCCACTAATCATCACCATAAATTCATCAATATCTCCACCACATCACCATACCAGTATCACCATCCACACCATCACCCAAACCTCTTCCACTAATCATCACCATAAATTCATCAATATCTCCACCACATCACCATTATCAGTATCACCATCCACACCATCACCCAAACCTCTTCCACTAATCATCACCATAAATTCATCAATATCTCCACCACATCACCATACCAGTATCACCATCCACACCATCACCCAAACCTCTCCCACTAATCATCGCCATAAATTCATCAATATCTCCACCACATCACCATTACCAGTATCACCATCCACACCATCACCCAAACCTCTTCCACTAATCATCACCATAAATTCATCAATATTTCCACATCACCATACCAGTATCACCATCCACACCATCACCCAAACCTCTCCCACTAATCATCGCCATAAATTCATCAATATCTCCACCACATCACCATTATCAGTATCACCATCCACACCATCACCCAAACCTCTCCCACTAATCATCACCATAGCTAGATCCATCACCATCATCACCACATCAGGTTCAGGTTCAGGCTTATTTATTTCCACAGTATTAATTATTTATTAATTATTATTAATTAAAAGTTAATCATAGAAAGTAATAAATAAATAAATAAATAAATGGATATATAAAGATGCAATTAACGAACAAGTGATACTGCAGAGGGATCCATTAAGAAGCAAAGCTTGTAAGCAATGGTCCCTATATAAAGCAAACACGTGCATTGAGCCTACAGAAAGAAGATAAAAGAGAGGGCATGAGATTGGGAGACAAAAATACCAACAGGGCTCAGTGCACATGTTGCTTACAGAAGCTAAGTTAACTTACAGATGTGAACAAACAAAAACAGACAAGTACCTAAGGGCATGGGCTATATACAATGTAGGCTCGCTAACTGGATTTAAATGAACAATTGCATTGCAGAGATTCAGCTATAAGCTTCTAACAATATAGATTTGTAAATACGTTTAAAGGTCGAAATGTTTTTAGAGGCTTTAAGTTTATCAGGAACTGAATTCCAAAGCATGGGTCCCTCGTGTTTAACCGTTTTATGGGCAAAAGAAGTACGGGTGTATGGAATGTGAAAATTAGAGGCTTGACGAGTAAAGTAAGAATGAATTTCGAGATTCCGAGAAAAAATACTTTTAATGGAGGAAGGTATATTGTTACTGGCGACCTGGCGACATCAGACCCAATGCCTCATTGTCATCATCTTCGTCAGCGTGACCCTTTTTCCAATTTTCAATATCATCATAAAATCACATCTCTCATCGCCACCCATATCACAGACACAGAAAATTTCTTTCAAACCCCCTCCTTAAAAATTAACTTCCAACGTTTTTCCCATAAACATCTCTGTTATACACAATCCGATAGGCCCCACATTTAATTGCACCCTGCTGTTTCAATTTAATTAATCCTCCGTTCGACCTAGAAAATTAAAATCAGTTTTAATTGCTTCCCAGTTCTCTCAAATTTAATTTCATCACTGCATTTGTCCTCCAGAATTTGTCCTCCAGCTGTTGTGTCATTCATTCCACTCAACCGATTCGCGAATGGGCAAGATAAAGGACCCTCAATACTGGACATGAAAATACACGTTTATACCGTGCGCCTGTAGACTATAGAAGGAGCGGATGCGCTTGTCAGTACTTTCGGCTCTCGTGTACGTTTGGTACAGTGTTTATAGAGGGAACATAAATCACCACGATCTTTTTTTCTCTACAGGATGGCAGTGTGCTGTCAGACATCGTCAAGGAAATGCAGCCAGGCATGCATCATGAGGACAAGATGACTGGACAGAGATAGCACACATTGAAAGAACAGTTAGTACTCCATGTGGGGAATTATAGGTACTCGATTAAGAGGTAAGTTTTGAATGTCATAAGCTTGTATTGCTTTGTTTTTTTATAGATATAGTTCAATTTGACGAATATGAAAGATTTCGGGACATAGAGTATCACTCAGAAGACCGTTGAGACTGTATAATATTCCCGTTTATCGGTTACTAAAAAGTTATGTGAGATAAGCTTCAGTTCCGTGGAAGATAATTTGAGAGCCGCATACGGCTTATGTAAGTACGATCAACCATTAAATTAATATATCCATAAATTTGAACATTTCGATTTTCTGACCTAGAAGTGAAATTTTCGAATTATTCAGGTTTTCTTTTTACATTTTTTCTGCACGTATTTTATTCATTCCATGGCAGAAGAATGCAATATTAAATTACACCAAAGAATCTCTTGTGAAGCTGGTTTGGTTTGTGTTTTGTCGTGTTTTTTGTTTGTTTGTATTTTTGTGTATGTTTACATACGTACTTTTCGAGTGCGTGTGATATTGGTTCAACATGCAGTCCTCGAAGCATGCAATGCGTGATCTTTGGCGCGTGCACTGCACCGCAAGTTCTCTTAATATTTCGCACGTTATTAAATTTCTGGCTCAATTGTGCCCTTACGCTGCACCCAACACCTTCAGCCGTTATATCTGTATGGAGATGTTGTTATTTAAGGAGCCTGTAAACCCGATTTACCCAGAGAGTAATATCCCCACGGCAGGCCTCATTTTGTAGGGCACCACCTTTCATCCGGACGACACCTTAAGCAAAATACTTAATCAATTCTAGGTGCCCTTTTCATGAAAACCGCCGATTCCAAATCTTGGGTGCGGATCTTGTCAAAATTTCAGTTGCTGGAATTTTTCTCGCACAATATTGCCTTTCGGCTGCATGTAGGTCAGTCGTGCATGGCAAATTCCCGACCAGTTTGACTATTAAGAAAGGTGCAATAGAATCTTAGTCCTGTTTTTATGGTGTATATTATGTGTTAAATAGTGCTTGTTTGGTGAATATGATTCTGTGGATGCACAACTTGATCCAATTTATATGCTTGCCATTTTCATGGTGAAAAATATAGTACATCTTCTCTTTCACAAAGTAGGCTGCAACCTTGATGCACCTTCATGGTATATAGGAATGCATCATGCATGGTCTATACTTATAAGCCATAATCATGGAGCATTTGGCATTTGATCAAAACATTCTTTGTTTTATAGTTTTAAGAAAAACAATAAACTCGCCGAGTTTTCCCTGTAGGTTACTACCCATTGGTAAATTATACGGGGGCCACCCGATAGTCCGATGGTTCGATAGTCCAAAGGATATTGATCCGAAGGTACAATGGTCGATCTGAACGCACAAATTTCCCGTACTCGGGGTTTATTAGATCGAAAATGAAATATGGTTCGTTAATCCGAACATTTGATGCGATAGTCAGAAGGTTCGTTAGTTCGAAGATTCGATAAACAAAAGGTTCGGTATTCTGAATTTAGAATAAGGTGAATTAGTCCGCCTTCAATAGTCCGAAACGAAAATAAAGTTTAATATGGCCTACATGTAGTCCGAAGGTTCATTACTCCGAAAACACACAAGGTTCGATAGTCCGAATTGGCAATAATGTTCAATGCTGTCAATTCGGACTAGAGAGCCTTCGGATTGTTTAAGCTTATTCCATTTTTTGACAAATGGGCCCTTCGGACTATTGAAACTTCGGAATAACGAGCCTTCGGACTAAAACGAACCTTCGGACAATCGGGCTGTCACCAATTGTACAACTGGGATCCTAGACCGAACCGACAAAAGACAATCGTAGGTGTCTTGGACTATTAAACAAACAGACACCAATGAATGGGAGACTGTCCACAAGTATCTAATATAGTACAGTAATAAAGTAAATAAAAACTGCATACCCGTCAAATGACAGCTGTCACTTCCCCGTCCACTTACCGAAGCGTTTAGTAACTCATCACTATTCAACTCAATTAACTACCAAGGAATTCAATACTCTAACGAATCGTTCGTGCTCCTTGTTATGCCATTGCAGTGCTTTTAACGTCTGTTTTTAATTGTTTGGTTTTGTCAGTTTAGTTTCACACTGGCTTAATAATAATGTTGCACCTTTGAAAACTCGGTTCTGATAGCATTGCCTTCCAAGCAAGATATTCCATCAAAGAATGCCTAATCAACTTGATATACAAAAACCCAACCCCGGTTAAATGAAGTACCACCCTGGTCCCGATTCACTCATCAAACACTCGTAACTGTCTTTAAATGTTCAGTTCCTATAAATATTGGTAACAATTGATAGTTGGCACATTATGCCGAAATTGCTTCCTACAGTTACTAATGGCGGTGGCTAAAATCCAAAACCTCTATAACAAGATGAGTTTCGATCGTGTTCAATTTCATTATTTAGTATTCATTAATTAATGCATCTCACAAATATTACTCGGGCTCTGAGACCTAATTGGTCTACTGTTTTGCTTAGGACTCTCGGTCAAGTGGGACAGCCACGCTTATGCAATTATAAATCGTAAATAGGAACATGTGTTTTGTCCTTGCTAATCGATAAGCGAATTACCAAGCTTCTGCATGGATGATCACAGTACAATTCTAGCTCAAATATTTGTGAGGTTGTTGAGTTGTTTGTCGATGCTGAGGCCAACATTTTGTGCGACGGAATACTGCACATAAATTAAACAATGTAGACAAAAACTTGTAATGGATATAATAATAATACACCGGTCAATATATAAGCATACGATGCAGTCGTTTAAAACGCTTTCAGTGCGTCACTCACGTTATGTTAATTCATTGTATTGCTGGAAATCGTTCTTATTGAGCGAGGTGTCACATTCACTCCGAAACAAACAGATCAATAATGACATAATGGCTTGTTGACGAGTATACTGTTGCATTTGTCAACGTCAGCGTGCATATATTTTCTTTAAATTTCGTGTTACATGTACATCTATATGATTTATATTAATTTCAAACACATTTTTATTATTTAAATTCGTTTACGAATCCCCGGTCATGCATTGTTACAATTTACAATGCCATTCTGTCTCCTATTGGTTCAGGGCAGGCATTTGTTTTCTCCAAATATCCAGGGAAAGTAGAATCTCCAGAACCTGTTAAATCGGATTTGTAAAACAAGACGATATTTTCCAGATTCGATTATCGGGAGATGTATAGACAAAAAGTTGAGGACAAAAAGAAAAACTTACAAAACAAAAAAACAGAATGCAATGACACCAATGAACTTTTATTACATGCGAGACAGCCGTAAATGTTTCTTTGGCAATCGCACGTTGGTTTTTCTTCTTCTGTTTTGAGTTCACCCTTTTTTGAAATGCAATTTGAGTTTGACTTCATATAGCATTACATGTACGTACAAACCGAGGCGATGAATGACCAGTACTCTTGTTCATTTGTAATCCCTACGGACGGCGTAATGTCTTTTACACCAACGCAAATTTGGTTTTACTCGAATTTCTTGGGAATGACGCATTCAAAATGCACTCATATCGTTGTGCAAATACAGAGTGGTGTTGTTTTTACCGTGCCCTGCAAATTCCAAATCAAACCTTTCGAATGAAAGGAGAATAATTACATAATGGTTACATTATTCATATCCCAGAGGACAGAGCCTCGGATTGCTTTATATTAAACATGCCACATCGGTCCAAGCAACAAAAATATGGTGTTTTTTTTTGTTGCAGTACTTTGACGAACTGAGCACAACCGTCTGTTTAGGGCTTTACGACTGTTCCATGAATGTTATAGCTATTTTTTGTTTTACTTTATTTTTTGGTATAACAAAAACGTGTGATTTGCTGTAATGGAACTACTTGTTTTTTTCGGGGATGAGGGATTACTTTTTGAGTTTTAGAAACTGGCTTCCTAACTTTAATTTAGAAATCAAGCTTGCTAATTTGTGTGTTAAAGATACCTCCAACAAATTCCTAGATTTCGCCATTTTACCATTGGCTTCAATCGGTCTTCTTAAAGGGACAATGTAATATCAGACATTTGACTTTACTCTTTCCATTTCTGAGATTGTTTCAGAACTTTTGGGGATTTGTGCTAATGAAATTTTTCCGCACTCATGAGAGTACTTTGATGTCATGTCATGTACGTCTGTGATCACTTTTTATTTTGGTGTTCTTTGTTGCTTTTATATTGGTGTTCTTGTCAGTCAATTAGCAAACTGTATTCACAAACATTTCTAATGAACTGAATTTAAATGTTTAAGTAATCTTATAAAAAGTTCCTAAATTGTTGAGTGTATATCTAAACTGATAGCAGAGTCATATACCATGGAGATATAAAACAAAGTGCTCTTTCCACAACGAATATATTGCCCATTTATTTTCATTTGGACGGATATTAACCGAAAATACATTTTGGGACAAAACTCACTGTATGTCCTCTGAAAAGGGCACGCTGCATAACGTTGTGTCAAAGCACGGACTATTTACAAATGGTCCGTGGTCAAAGTCAACTCCACCACGTAACGGCCGTCCAGCCGGTGTCCCGGCGTTCGCGTGAATTGCCAGTTCGCCATTCTCTGCTCGTCAACATCGCTTCATCGCCATCATCGCGTTCGATGACACAACAATCAAGATATATCTGTTCGTCGTATATTCTCGGTGCGTGACAACCCGAGAGAACCTCTTCCCGTGGGGGGGGGGGGGGGGGGGGGGGGGGGGGGGCGGTAGAGCACGGCATCGATTCCCTCTCATTCGTCATCAGCAACAACAGCTCCCCTGCGTACGGTTGGCAATTACTTTATCCACAGTTAAGTATAGTCACTGATCATATAGTGTGCATGCTCCTTCAGAGCCATGAATCGGATATATAAAAAGTGAAATAAATTTCATTGAAAAGTTGGACATGATTCCAAATTATGTGGGGGAAAAAAATAATAGTTTTAGGAAAAATGAAAATTTGAGTTGCCGGGAATGAACACCTGCACTACGGAGTCACTTCAAATTTTTGCCTGGAAACTAACCGTATAAAGTCATCCCAAATCACACGTATATATCATATTATTATTTCAACCATGTGATATGTTTGACGCATGCGTGTTATGGTTATTGACTATTTTAGGTTGCAAAAGAAGACAAATGTCTACGGCTAGGCTCAGGCTGCAGATGTGTTTTCCATTCCGGCGCGATATTGTAACAGTTACTTTCCCGTTATCTGTCGATAAATTGGGTGATTTGTTTTGAAGTACGGTGTCAGGTGTAACCTCCCCCCCCCCAAAAAAAAATCCATATTGTCTCTCACAGTTCTGTTTTGTATTGGTGCATATGCGTTAGAGGGGTTGTACGTCTTTTTTTCAACGCATATATGTACAAACAAATTAATGTATTGCCTCATGATGTTTGGCTGTTCTTTGACACATTGCGCTCAAAGGAAAATTAAACTTTTTGTACTAAAAAAATAATTTCATATTCATAGCTATTTAAAATAATGATGAAAGGGTCGCCGAATAAAATAACCAAATGTTAGTGACATTTTTAGCGTTCTGGAGACGATATCCACATACAAAGCAATACATCATCCAAAAAAGTAACCCTCACCTTATTTTTCTGAAATGTCTGTTAATGGTACTTGATAGAGGGGCTCTTTTTTTCGATTTAAACTTTCACCTTTCTGTGCTCTCCTGCTTGAGTTCGCATAAAACCTTTGGATCCCTGCTGGAAGGGTCTCTGATGTATTCGTCGGGAAATAAGTCAACGATCACTCTTTTTAAGTGCAGTTCTCTATTTGTATTCTACCCTGCCCTGCTTGCACTCTGTAGCCAGGGGTTCACAAATGCATTGCCAGGTAATCTTGCCATCATTCTTTCTTTGACGTCTTCCCGATAAGGATCTTACTCCCAGGCCAAGACTAAGCCAAGGGACTCTACACGAATCTAACCCGTGTTGTGGCAATGAGATTCCTATATGTGTGAGTTCCAGGAGACTCGAAAACCTTTCCATACACCGTCTTCATTTTCTTTTTTTTTTCTCTGAACGTTAGTCGTCCTTCTTGGCTGGCATCAACCTTTAACGAAGGAAAATTGAATAACAATCTAAATAACATTGTTAATTAATATAAATTGACGTCGAATCCATCTGCATATTTTTGCCAGCTTGAAAACAAAACCAAAACGTATCTGACAACTTTAGATACATTCTTGCATGATTTGCAGTCTATTCTCCAAATGCCATGTGGACTCAGGTCTGGTCTCTAATGGCACTTACAGTCACGATCTCTCATCCTCAACACATTGTGAACTCAGCATTGTGCACTGAGACCTGAGCAATCCCAACAAGAGATACAAATCACAAAAGCCAGTTGCCTGTCAACTGAAAAGGTTGATTTTTAACTGATTTGAATCGATTTATTTTAAGTCATCCATTCTTTTTACCTTGATTTTTTTTTTTAAAACGCGAGGCTGGCTTGGTCATGGTCAAATATTACTCTTCTTGCATCGATCCGTCCCCTGACGTTGCAATTTTCCTCACTATTTAAGAAAAACAACCTCGACATGTACGCTTGAGCGACTGAGTTCAGCGGCTGTTAAATACAAAAAGCTACTGAAACTACCTCGACACCCCAACGCCAGCGGTGTTTTGATCGATGTGCGTGCGGTTGTTTTCCCGCTTGCGTGTTTGCTCGGTGATTATGCTTGTTTCTGCCAATATTGAACGAGTATGAAATGTCAGCCGGATTTGGTAATAGCCTGTTCAGAGAATAGCCTATACACAGCGGCTGGCCCTTTGTTTGCAGTGACGGAGCTTTGCTGCAACGTTGCATATAGAATGGCGCAAAACCAACGCTGATTTGAATTTGCGCAATATGTAACATGTTATCATATTAACCGAATTAAATATAACCCCTTAGGGCGTATGGATTTTTTTTCATCATAATAGCAGTGTGCATGACTGTAAGAATAACGATAACGATTTCGTCGGATATTTTAAAAGGCTTGTTGATGGAAACATGTAGTCTGGTTCCCAGACCAACAGATTCTGACTATTCCTGATGAATCTTAGGTCCGGTAACCTCCGGTAATACATTGTATTACAATTTACGTCACGTGACTAAAACGGGAGGAATTGCTCCTTTTTCCGAAAATTTCCGAAGTTTGCCGAATTCGTTTCGTCGACAATAACATTCGGACGACTTTGCCAATTTGACTCAGCTAGAGATCCTGGATCTCGACAACTTCATTCAGTATGAGTCTTCAGCATTTGAAAAATTGGTATCTCTCTAACATTACATACTCTCCGTGCCATATTTAACCTGTCCAAGTTGGAAGAGCTGCACCTGACGCACATCGCATTCAGGTGGTGTCGAGCTGGCTGAATAGTGTGCCAAACGCTTGGGTTGCTGGAGCTTTGTTTGCAGTGACGGAGCTTTGCTGCAACGTTGCATATAGAATGGCGCAAAACCAACGCTGATTTGAATTTGCGCAATATGTAACATGTTATCATATTAACCGAATTAAATATAACCCCTTAGGGCGTATGGATTTTTTTTCATCATAATAGCAGTGTGCATGACTGTAAGAATAACGATAACGATTTCGTCGGATATTTTAAAAGGCTTGTTGATGGAAACATGTAGTCTGGTTCCCAGACCAACAGATTCTGACTATTCCTGATGAATCTTAGGTCCGGTAACCTCCGGTAATACATTGTATTACAATTTACGTCACGTGACTAAAACGGAGGAATTGCTCCTTTTTCCGAAAATTTCCGAAGTTTGCCGAATTCGTTTCGTCGACAATCGGATAGTGCCCGAGCTTTTCCGAGTATAATATAGGTTTAATTAACCGCTAATTGCTTATTAATTTTTTTCTAAATGAGTTGATAATTAATATTCATTGCTTTCATTGAGAAAACTTGAAATTCACGACGATTTTGTGCATCAAATATACTCGGATCGTATGGGCGAACTTTTTGCTGCGTCATGTACAATTTTAAATTTGACGACCGTTACCGAGATTTTCCTAACGATTGCTAATTGGGTGCCTAAATTTGAAGATTCCAGATCAACATTAGTCATTGTTATCTTACAGAAACATCAAACTGTATTATCATAATATGATAATTATTACGAAGCAAGTGATTTATTTACAAATTTGATCAGAACATTAAAAGCTAAAAGTGATAAAGCGAAATCGGAAACGAAGCTGAGCTTTGAAAAAGGGCTATCAATGTCGTCATGTTTATTTTTAGCCACGGAGGCTGCCTGACCTAAGATTCATCAGGAATAGTCAGAATCTTTTGGTCTGGGAACCAGACTAGGAAACATGTTCAACTGTTCACCCACATAATACACTCACAGTGTTATACGCTTTGCCCAACCCTCCCCACCCCTTGACAGAACGCATGTAATGTTTAGCTTTCAGTGCCCGCAGCGGCCAGAAGTGGCCAGAACTGAAATGCCCGATGCGTAGACGGCAAGCATTAATATTAATTTTGTTCGTAAGCACTGCAGTTCAGAAGCACTGTAAGAACAGTTTAGATCTACAGGAAAAGAAATCCAGGTGTTTTTAAATACTAGGTAGTGGCATGCTATTTTTGTAGATTGTTTCAATAATACAAGTTCATCGAAACACCTTCCATAATAAGCTCTACACATTGAGTGTAGTGTAAGAACGTTGCCGCGTCTTAAATTTCCTACACCGCATTGTCTGAGCAGAACAGTGTTGTCATTTGATTCATATTCTTCTGGTTTTTTTTGTGGTTTTATACTTCAGGTTAAAATGGAACCTTCCTTGCGAATCCGAAGGGAGACGTTCCTCGCCCTGTTGATGATACATCTGATAACAGCTGTTGGGTTCCTGCACTACCGCTGCCCGGATTACTGCCGCTGTGACAGGAGGACGAAGACCGTAACTTGTAAGGAAAACTTATTTGCCGAGGTTCCCCCGAATCTTCCCATCAATACCAAAACACTCGACCTCCAGGGGCAAAGCTTCACCAACTTGCAAAGGATATCTCTCTACCCGATCCGCACCTTGAGGAAATTAAATTTAGCGGACGGCAACATCCACAGCATTGCGGACGACGCTCTGAGAAATACGCCCAAGCTGAAGCGGCTTAACCTGAGCTTCAACTACTTGAACGAGATCCCTACGGCTGTCTCGGCAGGAATTTCAATCAAAGAACTCATCATGCCCTACAATAACATTCGATCCCTCCATTCGGACGACTTTGCCAATTTGACTCAGCTAGAGATCCTGGATCTCGACAATAACTTCATCAGTTCCCTACCCTCCGGAGTCTTCAGCCATTTGAAAAAGTTGGCCATCCTCTATCTCTCTAACAATTCCATACGTTCCCTCTCCGGTGCCATATTTGGAAACCTGTCCAAGTTGGAAGAGCTGCACCTGACGCACAATCGCATTCAGGTGGTGTCGAGCGGCTGGCTGAATAGTGTGCCAAACGCTTGGGTGCTGGAGCTTGGGTTCGCCGTGGAGGAGGGGAATCACACAGCTGCCGCTAATCTGCTGACGACCGTCGGCACCGATGTGTACTTGCAGAACGTGGAGCGCTTAGTTGTCAGTGGAAACGACATGCTTGATATCCCTTGTGAAGACTTTTTGGTATTTCCATCCCTGAAACACCTAGACCTCAGTCTGAACTCTTTTACAGACATTCCGCAGGCATGTTTCAGCATGCTCAGCGAACTGGAAACACTTATACTGAATAACAACGCAATCAACGCGCTGAAACAAGGAGCCTTTTACAATTCCACTAGCATCTGGACCTTGGACCTTTCATTTAATCATCTCCAGGAACTGCAACCAGGAGCCTTCCTTGGTTCTTACCTTGAGACCCTGGACCTCAGCAGTAACAAAATCCGTAGACTCAACAACGGGAGCTTCATTGGCTTGGAACACCTTCCATACTTATATCTAATGGGGAACAGAATCGAGAGACTGACTAGAACCATTCTGAGACCGCTCAAAAACCTGTACATCCTGGACCTTCGGATGAACCGCCTGACGCGGGTGTCCAATCAGTTCTGCAACATGTCCAGCCTGACGAACTTAGCCCTGACCGGCAACTTAATCGAGTATATTTCACCGGGAGCCTTTCGGGGGTCTGATAACCTCAGGGGTCTCTTCCTGGACGGCAACCGTATCCAGACGGTTGCAGAGGAGACCTTTAATCTGCCCAACCTTGTGGCCGTAAAACTCAACAACAATCCTTGGCACTGCGACTGCCGGATGCGATGGATCCGAGAGGCAATGTTTCCGGACAGCAAGCGGCACACATGGATGCTCTACACGGACGTCGAAGGAGTAAACTCCTACATGGGCATCACCTGCGCCTCGCCAACGTCCTTCGCGAACTTCTCCCTCTTCCGGATCAAGGAGACAGAAATCTTCAGGTTGATTTGTACGAGTTACGTGTCACCCTTGGCGATCGAGATCATCGTGGGTATCTCCTTTGCCATCATCGCCTCTAGCACGCTGTGCTATGTGGCTAAACTGTACTGCAAGGTCAGGGAGTTGGAAAGGACGGGTGCCGAAACTGCCAAGTCATTGTCGTAGTAATCATCCACCTGTATGTACATGTCCTTGGATCTTTTCCAGTGTATTGTCATTACTGATCACATGTAGTTACTAAACATTGGACGTTTCACAGCAAAGAAAAGTTATCGTTGGTGGAGAAAGCCCTGCCAAACCCACAGAGTGCAAATGGTACAAGTAGTACACTTTGCACTTTGCGACAAACTTGTAACGGCTTTCAGTTTGCTGAGAGAAAGGACTGTAAAACTGTTAATTTTGGGGAGGAGGGAGTGTTATAAAAGCAAGTGAAATGGCCACCACGAAAATGAGAATGGCCCCTCGGTGTCAACCGCATGTTGACGCCCTTTGTAATGTATTGCAGTAATCGAAAGGCCTATGTGCCACCCCATAGGATCATCAGGGCCAGGATTAAGTTTTAAAAGATCAGTCACATTACTGTGGAAGACATTGACTAGTTATAAAGATAATATATTATTTGCAACAATCTACAACATACATCAAAATTCAATAAGGGGAGTTTCAACCGTAGAAAAAGGTTAAAAAGCTGCCCCGCCCCTCTGCTAAAAGCCACTGTGTAAATTGCGTCAATGAGGCAGCAAACAGAAAAGACCAGTTTGCTTACCCCACGGTACGGCACTAGCACTCCCACAAAAATCAAAGCTGCTTGGCCTGTATTGCTTTTCCGCAGCATTATAAATAAACAATGCGTGGATGCTTCTTTTGTCGCTGAATTCTCAAGATTCGAAACATTTTATTGATTCTGCCAGAGGGAAGGTCTTTGTGAAATCTGCGCCTCTATGGTAAATCGAACTGTGTGAAATGCTTTCACTATAGGCCTATACGCATGTAAAAGTTTATTACAAAACAGTCGTTTGATTGTAAAGCTGTACATTGACGTCATCAAAATGGGCTTGTGCCAGATGCTCCAGACGGCTTTTGTTTTCCTTCTGGTTTTTTTTAGCAGAGCTTATTCACTTTTATTTATTTTTTTTACGGCTGAAATTCCCCTTAATAATTTTTTTGATGCTGTAGATTGTTTCAAAAATATATTATTCAAATTAGTCGAATTTTGCCACTGAAATATGACTGATCTTTAAAGTACAAATTATACGTTTGGTCCTCAGTTTAAGATACTTCTCTTGCGTCACCCTATCCGGAATGGGTGCCATTGGAAAGAAGGGTGCATTATAGGGAAATCACTCCTTGTTCCATATTGCATGAATGATCACTCTTAAAACAATTTGTTCCCCTATTCAATTTTAAACAGTTTTAATTTAAATCTATGTAAATATTGTCCTCCAACGAGACTGCTTTTACTTTTTATACGATTCTGCTCTTAGTCACGCTTGCGACATCAATATCATGCACAGAACACAAAAATGAATTCAATATTAGTACACATATTACATGAAAATATAAAGGTCGTTTGATTGCTGCACGTCAGATAAATTCTTTGTTCAGGATTTGAGAAACAAAATCTGTTTTCACAAACTCAGTCTACGACTCTCACGGTAATGTCATTCAAAGACGCGAGTAAGTACACAAAGTGTAGAAGACTGAACAACGTATAACTTAAGCGCTGTGTTTACAAGAAAATACACACTAGAAGGAGCACACCAAGTCCCATTCATGAAGCTTATTCCAATGGCCTCCAAGTTTAATCGTTATCCATATATAAACTGAATCTGTTTTAAACAAAAAAATTGAGACGAATTTGTTTCTAAAGATTGTTTCTTTTAATGTTAAGGGTTGGTAGCCCCGAAAACGGGAGGAATGTGGCAAATTATATGTTAATGTATGGATGGAAAGATACAACGCGTTATAAAATATTGAGGAAACAAAATGGCGCCTGTAAGTCACGTGGCACGTTTATCCAATCCGATTAATGTCGACTAAAACAGAGTCATTAGCTAAGTATGTTTAGACGGCACTGTAATGCATACCATGGTTAATCCTTCTAATGTACACAAAAGCGCACAAAACCCGGCACTTACATTTAATTAGAATAATGCACCATTCAACCATACGCCAAAACCAAGATCGAGGCACTCTGTGAATTTACTTGTGAAAAAGGTGAAGTATTTTTGGAAGTCGAGAGCGTGCTTCTGACATTAAGGCTCGCAAGCTTCAATCAGCATGGGATATAATGCATACTGAAAGAACCAAAGATTTTGACAGCTAATGGACGGTATTTAAGGTATTGCATTTATATGAGTATTATGGAAATAAATATTTTCTAAATACAGAAAATATGAAGGCCGATGAGTGAGATGTGTATAAAATGTAGGACCTATTGCATTTTAAAAGGAAAACATGATCCAGCTTGAAACAAAGTGTTGGCATCGTCCTTAATGGGTTTACGACGCCACATCAATGTAAAATATCGGATTGAGCACAGTCGTAAACAGTATAGTTAGCATATGTGATGACGGTTTGAAGATTTGATATCTCCCCCTCCCCCACACTCCCAATGCATAGCAACAACCTAGGTAACAAAACCATTCCCCCCCCCCCCCCATCGACTTTTCTTAATAAATTTAAGCTCTCCTCGAAAAATTATTTATTTCAGTCCGGAGTCTCCATAAATATTCCATCAGGAAGCATGAGCTGTGCAGGAAATCTAATCCCACAGCTCAGTGATTATGCTACAACCTTCTCAGACTTGTGTTTCGGAGTCGCACCGGACTAAGTATCCTCTACATCGGATTGTATTGAATAGATTTATTGAGGTCGACGTTTGAATCAACAGCGGAGTTTCATGCGAGATAAATAAAGAGATTGAATGTTGCAGTCGTTCGAAACTGTTCCTGGTCGACTTGAGTAATTATAAATACGTTTTGCCTTAGGTAAGCGAGTGTGATACAGGTGTTACGGATTATGTGCTTTACTCCTTTCTTTTTGGAAAGGTGCTTTTACCAGACTACGTATTAACGCATATAGAGCGTTTTCGAAACGACTCACTTTGCAGTGTCCCAATAAACATTGTGCATGAAGAACTCGCTGATTTTCTCAAAAGTTGGTCGGACTAGCTAAGCAAATTTTATAGCATTTTTAAGCCTATGGTCTTGTTCATAATTGGTGGGAAAAAAATCAAGAAAATCCAACCATGCAAACCGGAGATATCTTTGATTTGGTAAGGCTATGTATATTTCGACCTGCACAATGTAATTTCCACACTAATTGTACAGGAGGAATATAATATAGCCTTACAAAATCAACGACATCTCTGGTTTGCATTGATGAATGTTTTTGATATCTTCACTAATTATAAACACGATCATGGCTTTAAAATATTATAAAATGTGATAAGCTAGTGACCACCTTTTGAGCAAATCAACGACTTCTTCATGTACAATGTTTATTGAGACACGCTGTGTATTAGCCCCCCTACTTCGGGAACTCCAGCGACATTTTCGTGCCTGCAGGAACATTCAATCGGTTGATATGAAGCCAAAAGTTGGAATATTTTTGTTTAGTTTGGCTCTCAGTGATTCAGAAGTCGAAGCCGAAGCAAAAGACAAAGGTTTCGAAAAAAAAAATATTCCGAAATACCTGTGACATTTAACCCATTCCTGTTGGTCGAGAGCCCGCCACGTGGGCGGTTTAAACCGCCGGTAAAGCACCGCTGCGTCGTGCGCCACATCGCGCAGGACGCGCCGCGCGCGAGCCAACTTCTATAAAAGGAGATTTTTAGCACTACGCGCGCGAGGCACATACCATGCACAATTATGGCCTGACGGGTGTGTCACACAACCTGAAGAAAAATTATTGAACAAAATCGTTGAAATATTTTATGTTTATATTTGTTTAGACTCTTTGACCGAAAGGTATTTATGAATGGGAATAAATGGGTATTAAACACGTACGTTGTGACCGGCCAGGGGCATGGACGCAGATAAAGTCAGAGCCGAACCGGCCAAGGACATATTGATAAAAACTGTATACTGGCAATTTCGCAGCAAATTGAAGTGTACAAAATGTTCATTTAAATTTATTTTATTTATATACATATAATGTATTAAAGGCCTGAAGCATTTTCATTTGATCTGACTCTGAATAAAAGCCCGCGAAAGCAAAGTGTGTCGTGTGTTTTGTTAATATATGTAGCTTTATTATGCTTTACTTGTCTAATGTATAATTCTAGCAATCTCTATGTCTTTGTGTTGTTTGTTTTTCTGCTTGGTTCTTTTCGTTGTTTTACAAGTTTTAATTTTTAAGCCGTTAGCCTAATCTGCCAAAAACTGTTATGGTTTTATGTCCGGTCTTCATCAGTTTAAAAACCGGGTTTTTTTTTTAGAGGAGCGGCTGAAAGCTGCAGACTACGTGTTACTTTTGAGCGATGCGATTGAAATTGTTTGGCTAATAATAATCGGGACCATAAGTAATGATGCGACGGTACGGGAGGCGTAAGCGCTCGGAAAAGTCGCCTGTCCACTCACCATTTTGCGTCGTTATATTGTCGGCCACATTATCGGTAGCTGAGCATCTCTAATATCAAAATATTGAGATGTACATTGTAGATATTATGTGGGCCTGATGAAATGAGCACATTGATCCAGTAGGCCAGTTTTTCCCGGGCCGCATGCGTATCCCATATGCGCATCATAATCAAATGGTCCTTATTAATACCTTCCTTGCAGCCTTATCCATGCACTGTACCAAATACTGCAATCTCCATGCAATTAAGAAACCCTCGGCATGCACCTGCATGATAGATGCCTTCAGTTGGGCAAACTGGCAGCCGAACCTGTGTGAGTCAAATATAATCTGCCTACAGCAAACCGGCGCGTAATACTGCGCTCGTAGTATCCAAATATTTCGCTAGTAATGAGGATGCCCAACTATCGGCAGCGGGGTAGCCGGGGGTGCATTTGCCCCCCCCCCCCCCGCCCAGTTTTCCCTCGGCCCATCCCCGCCCACCACCAATTTTCTCCCAGCACTTTATCAACATATAGATTAATTATGTTTATTTTTTCATTAAGATCCGTAAAATGTGGACACATTTTGGACGGATGAAAGCATTATGAAAGCATTATAAACATTGGTACTTAAGACAAAACAAGCCACACATGCACTTATACAGCCGTAGATAGTGCATCTAACGTCTTTGTACATGGCACATGTTATACACCATTCTGCTGTTTGATACATTTCTCATTCGTGAAAGCGACTACACTTCTAAGTTGCTTTAGTGGCTTATTTCCGGACCATCGGCAGTGGGCACGTGCGCGTACGGCTTTTTTTTTTTTTTTTTACTGCGCCCCAAAATATGTCCTCCCCCCCCCCCCCATTGCAATTTCCCCCACCACAATTAAAGAGTCTGGCGACGCCACTTAAAAAATCGTGGCCTCCCCAATGGCCCCCCCCCCCGGAAATTTGATAGTCATTTTTCCACGAGCGACTTTTGTTAACGAGTGCTCCTTTTTAACGTCGCGCAAACAGCTTCCATTGTGCCGCCATGAAGGGCGCTACTATAAATGCTATAAACTAGAGAGTTCTGAGAGCCATGGAATTTAGGAAATTGAAAATATGGCAACACACCTCTGGCCCGGACTTGGGGCTTCCAATTCAGAGCATTTTAGATGTAATCGGGCCCGATAGTGGTGCTATTTAGCCATGTTGTGGATCGCATCCGTTTTCAAGGTGGCTACTTTTCCACTTTGGGAACATCGCTCGTCGTCTTCTTTTAGGCCGCGAAAATTTCTCAAAAAGTCATCGGTCAACCCACCAAAAATGGAAAAGAAAAAGAAAGATGAAATGTTAATCACCAGTTTTCTCTGCAGCCTAAATACCTTTGAGAGTTCTGGGTATTTTTTTTAACGAAATTTGAAGTGTGGGTATTTAGCACTGGTGTCTATGGGAATTTTAATACTTGGACGCACCCACAGAAGTCGGCACGCTGATGCGCTGATGAGCAGTAGTTATGTAGCGCGCCCTCTTTTGGAAGAAATTTGTGAGAATTTAAATACGGAGTGTCGTCACAATGCAATTTCCTTAAATTAGATTTATGTCATTCTTTGACGGTTCCTGTACATGAAAGTAAAGATTTTTTCGTCAAGTATCATGGCAAAACATTGGACGAGATTTAATTTTATTGCAAAGTGTATATCTTGAGATTTCGTCCATACAATAACTTTGTTCACATCGCGAATAGACAGGAGTGCTTGTCGGCGCGAGGTTAGCAGTGTATATATAGTGCGCCCTCTTGGGGGAAAAAATATGACGATAGCATACGCAGTGTCCTAAAAATGCAATTTCCGTTAATTATACTCAATTCATTCTTCCACGGAAATTGAAGAGAAATGGTAATACACCTCTGGCCCGGACTTGAGGCTTCCAATTCAGAGCATTTTGGATGCAATCGGGCCCGAAAGTGGCGCTATTTAGCCATGTTGTGGATGAATCCGTTTTCAAGATGGCTACCTTTCAAGTGGGAAACTTCAGTCGTTTTAGGGGGCGTCCTCTTTGGGTGAGAATTTCTCGAAATTGTCATCGGTCAATTCATCCAAAATGGAAAAGAAAATGAAAGGTGACATGTTGATCATCATATCTCATATCTTGAGATTTCGTATTTACAATAACTTTGTTTACATCGCGAATGGACAGAAGTCGGCGCACGATGCTCTGCATGCCCAATGGCGGAGCGTACAGAGCGAATCTCGATCGCTCTTGTCACGCTCCACCTTTTGGGCATGCACAGCCTCAATCTGGCAACCTTACACAATACAAATAGCCGATTCAGTGATCTTAACCCCGACACGGGAATCACTGAACCGGCTACATTTATTGTGTAAAGTTGCCAGATCGAGGCTCTGCATGCCCATGGCGGAAGTGTGAAAAGAGCGAATGGTTTCCAGTATATGAATATATATTATACATCCCACACTTCCAATTAATTATAACATCCAACACTTCCACTAGGTGAATGTGTCTCACTTTACGACCGTCCACCTCAAAGCTAATTTTATCATGCTACATGCATTTTGCCCTCGTGCAAAACTGAAAAACCACCTAATCTTGAACTTAAAAGGGAAACAATGAAACCAAAAATTCACGTTATTTTAATGTGATCCTTTATTACATGTTGGCCTATTTCGAAGAGTTACAGACATACGAAAATACAGCACTAAGGCCATATATAATTATGGGCAATATACATTTCTTATCACTCTAAATAATATATGCACGTGTACACATTTTAATTAGTCTATAAATGCTGGTCATCTGATCATCTTTTCCCAACATTACTATGTTGTCGGCTCATTAATAATCTCCCTAATTTACTTCTGCTACAGTTTTTATATACATGCAAAAGATCCCATATACCTGTAACATAATCGTTCAGTTTTAATTCCTAATCTGTAATGGCTCGTATATAGTTACAAACTGATTAAAAAGCTGTTTGTAGAATCGTTTCATTGCAAACGTCAAATCAAGACGGATTCGTCTAATTTAAATAAAATGCAGTGTGTGTATTATGCCACACAAAATGAATGATGCTCTGCATTCGAATTATTTATAAATCCCTCACATGATTGCAAGTCAATTTTGTTTGACCTATTTAGCCCTGTTCCACAATGAATGGAAATATTAGGCCAGAAGTGAAATTTATCGGCGCCGAATATGATAAGGTGTTTGAGAAATGGAAATAAGGTATTGCTATGTCTGAAAAGATTTGCGTTATTAAGATCAAGTCGAAGGAATAACCATAGGCCTATTTCACATAATTGTCAGATAAACAGGACGGTACATGCACTTGTACATTACTATTCAGCAAAAAGCATTTAAATGGTACATATGGAATCGGCAATGTTAATTGTAAGGCACGTTGTTGGTTGGATCACCCAGGTGGATATGCAACTGGGGATACAGGTTGTGGGGTATCTGGGATGCGGGTTTCCATGGAGGGCGCTCTAGCAGAGAGATGCGTCCCTTGTACTTCTCGTCCATCTTGTCGGCTACATTGAGAGAGACAAAAAAACATGGTTGCAATTTTTGAACAGCAAAATACACGTGTATACGCGCAACAAACTTTTAAATTACAACAAACGTTGTTCTTCAAAGTTAAAGGAGAACCAAGCCTGGACAAATTATTCAGCAAGACTGATGGATCCAAGTGTGTGGGAAGTGTATGTTCAGTTACGCATGGCTTAAAAAAACGGTCCTCTTGCGAGGGAATCAGTGCATGCCCTGGAAAAGTGTGAAGTCATGATGATAAAGTCCCCGTGCATTAATGGTTGGACATCTTTTCGTATTGTTTCAAGTCTTTTAAGTCATATGTTCACAATACGATTGGGACGTGTCTTGATATTATTTTTGACTTGACACATTGTAAAAAAGTTGGGCGAAATGGGTTGATAATTCGACCAACGATGGTCGAATTATCAACTGCCTACACTCTTGGGCAAATTCTTTCCCAAAAGTTTGATAGTTTTACCCAATTCAACCAAATATGAGGTTATTTCATACCAATGCTTGGTAAACTACTTTGCCCAACAGTGTTTTTATCCAACCTTTTTACAGTGCACGCGCGTGAGTTGTGAGAAGCACTCGACTAGAACACAATACCGGTACATCTGTAATTGGGCATTTTCGTTGGCCTGTGTGTGGTGGGTGGGGGCAAAAGGAGCTTTCATGTTGCCACATGAACGAAAGCAAAAACGAAAGGTTGTTCCATTTTCCCTCTCTAAGTATACGTTCATAGCTAAAGATTAACATACCGTATGTCTTCCTCTGGTTTGACCCGCCGCCAGTGCCTGATCTCTCGGGCGTTTTCTTGGCTCCGGCGCTGCGTGAGGCCGGTCTCTGGCCACCCGTAGCCGAACCGCCCCGGGTACGGGACTCCGGGCGACTACCCGCCTGTGCTCCTGACGATGGTCGCTGCTCATAGATGCCCATGCCTAAACGGTGTGTTGTGGAGCACCACTTGGCCGACTGCGAAGATAGTTGAAAACAATACATACATACATCGATATTTATTTCCTATTAATGAATCGGTACAATATTATCTGTGAGATCTCGGACATTTTGTCATTCAGGTATAGAACTTAGCAAGGCCTGGTTGTTTCACCTTGGGAACTACGTAGAGACTAGACGTAGCAGCTTGAAAAACATGTTGTTGACTTGATCCCTATAATAATCACCATTTGGTATGGCTATTTCATTGAGCACAACATGATCACATCGACAGTGTCTATCTAACATCCAACTGGTGAGATGCTGATACTGGCTTGGGGAAATAACCACATAACACACAAAATCGTTGTATGACCGGCAGCTTCCCCAACCGAGGCATAGGCCAAGTCTCCGCACATCTTTCCATTTGGTACAACGATGATGCTCACCGGTCCAATTCAGTTTAAAAAAAAAACGGTTCTTGAAGTAAATTTGGACATATAGATTACATTCTGTACCCAAATTATGCTTAATGCCTTCGCTGAATCTTGGGTTATAGCATGCACAAAATGTAAATCATCCGTGCACCTTGCAGCTTTGAACTACATGTACATATAACCTTGAGTAAGGAATAGGCATAAATGGACTAAAACATTTTGTTCTACGTCTGTACTCGTGTTCTGGTTTTTGCTGTGTGAACATTTTTTTGAGACGATTTTCCACCAAAAATAATTACTTACAGACCTACCTGCTATCTTCGCGAAATCTAGGATGAGAAATCGAAGGAAATTCTCGCTAGCAGTGTGCCTTCCAACGGCAGCAACCTGTTTGGACTACGGGATGTGCATAGAACCTCAGGCTATGCCCCCTAAACTGATCAAGTATTCTAACAAAACCCGGTACCTGGTTACCTGATGTGGTTGGCTAGTTCCTAACAAAGGAAAGTTCTGCGGAGTGGGCCTGTTCGTTTCACTACACGTACGCATGTATGTCTGGCTTGCATGTATCGATTATTGAAATCTATATTAACTTATACTCATGAGATGGAATTTGCGTTGGGGTTATATCTAAAAATTTATAGCTATTTGCATATTTGCACCTTGATTTCTGCTATTATTCGCAGAGTAAAACAAGGCAAACAGGAAAGTGCTGTCTTGGAATCTCTAGGCTATACCAACCACGATCATCCCCAAAAATACTTCGTCTTGAACAAAGATAAGCCCAGTGACATTTTGCAACCACCTTTTTGCAGCCGCAAAGGAAAACATGACATATCATTATGGTTGCATGTTTTGACTTAGTCCACAAGAAAAAAGTATCTAAAATGAAACAGAATTGTGGACGATGTGTCAATGCGCTTCGATGTTTCATCAATTTCTATATAGCGCGGTAAGTAAAAACGGTAAAGGTCATGATTCTTCATCGTGCAAGAAACGAATAACTACACAAAAATGGGCAAAGTCATGACCACTTACGCTCAACTGGTAACCCTACAATTGTGATTTTGGTGTTTTAAACAATAACAAGTCAATAGCCGCTGCTCTCTATGTGGACATTGTTCAAGGGAAGAACGAATAGCTGTACATGTATTAAAGTGGATAATAACTCACCAGATCGGCGATGCCGTCCGCTGTTTTGAGTAGGACTGGCACGAGGTTGACCACGGCACCCCACAGCGGAACCTCCCCAGTGTTCAACCCCCGGAACTCTTCCAGCGTCTTGTGCTTGTGCAGGTCCGTGAAGTCGTTGTGCTCACCAAGAAACATCTCCCAGAACTCGATCTCCGACTTGATCTTCCTTGCCGTCTCCCTCTGCCGGTCGTGGACGGTGAGCTCCCCGATGGGGTCCCCGATCCACTCCCGGACCCGTTGTGCTAAGGTCCGGAGCGCGTCCACCAGGGCCAGGAAGTGGCCGATCACGGTGGTGAAGTGCGTGGGCCGGTCCTTGTCCAGTCTCTTGGAGTCCTCGTAGCAGTCTCGTACACTGCCGATAGTCGTGACCGACGGACCGTATGTGGTCGTCCGGCCCTTGGGCGATCGCTGCAGGCCGTCGATAAAGCTCCGGCTCTGCTTGAACAGCTTGGTATAGTCACCCTGACGCAACTGGCGAATTTCCTCGCTGAGTTGGCCGTTGACTTCTTCGATGTACCTGAGGGTTGCTGAGGGATCCTTCTTGGCCATGGCAAATATTTGGCGGGACGGTTTCGTATTATGAGTTGTATATTAATAAACTGTGAAAATTTCCTCCTTTACCACCAGTATACCATTCGAACCTGAGAAGAAAATTGAGGTTGATCTTAAGGAAACGATGAGCGAATGTTTTCCAACAATCTATAAATGTGAAACCGTACTTTTCTCACGAGAGCCTTCGTATGTTTTCAGTGTTCTCAACACTTTTCGCAGAATGTCAATTTCTACAGTGATCATAAAACTTGTGAGAAAGATGAGGTGGTTAGATCTGATGCATGTATACGTAGATTTGGCTGAATGATGTGATCTTGGAGACCTACAATCCCGGCCACATCTCGCTGGGCCCCAACCCCCCGGCCCCCTGCTCAAGGTTGTCTCTCATTGTGCGATGTGTGCTCCATCAGCTGGAGAGAACAACATTAATGACTGGGGAAGCGGGGGATCGGAGTTGGTGACCTTGGGAGGCCAAGATTATTTCTAAATGTCCCAACCATTTTGGCCGGGATTGTAGTTTGCATGTCACGGAAGTAAAGAGGCAGCGCCCACATAGGCCTTCCAGAACTATAAGCAATGCACCTTTTATAGGTGTTATGCCGAGTTAGACGGCAATCATGGGCTTTGTATCGCAAGTATCTAGGCAAAGGTGTCCAGTATGTGCATTCATTATAAATCTAGGTAAAAATAATGCACACGTTGGTTGCAGACGGCAAGTCTTCTGCCCCGCCACCAACGGTATATAAACATCGGTACAGGGAGGGGGGCGGGGTCCCCCACCACGCCCTCCCCCTAATTACAGCCATACATGTACATGTATATGGAGTGCCTCTCAGAAACGCCAATTGGACCCTTAGGCTACTTTCGCTTCTTGTCGACCCCAATGAGATTAAAAAAAAACGAATTCAAGAGATTGATGTTAAACTGCCAATTTGCTGCTCAACATCTTGCCCAAGTTTCAACTGTCGACATTGAATGGCAAATTCTTTCAAAAAGTAGGTTTTTCTCAGCCACCAACTGTCGTGTGGAATATTGCTCATCATCATATTTGTTTCACCAAAGTGTTGGTGGTGCACGGCTAACCCACACTTTCTGTATTAAAGCTAGAAAGCAAGTCCCCGAAACAGGATACAGTTGATATAGTCGATAGAATTCAGTTCGCCTGTTAGCTTACAACATGAAGCACTAACACATGGCAAAAACGGGTAAGAACCATTTAGTGCTGATTTGGGAATTAAATGACGTCACGATGTAGTAAAGTCGACTCCGATTGGCTGGCGTGTGGCTTGCATATATCTGCATGTCTAAACATATCAGACGTTATTATGAGACTTGGCTCCGTGGACAACGGGTGATACTTAGACTAATAACCTCTGACGTGCTAAGAAAAAAAAACTCCTCAGAAGTTCTCTTATTTTTGAAAAAAACAATCGTTCATTTTTATCTCTACATAATACAGGCAACGGTTTTCCCCAATTCCCTCTTTGCCCCTATGCATATGTATAGGCCTATAAACCTGCACCCAAAATCCGGAACCGCGCTATTCCGTGTATCATTTTACAACCGAGGGCCCACGGTCATGACCGCATGTCAATTATCAGGACCTATGCAGCTTATTAGCTACCAGTGGAAGCATAATTCTTACAGAAAAAGTGCTAGACCAGTATCCTACTATACTGTTTTAAATTTATGATGACTGTTAAAACAGTCATCATAAATTTCGGAATAAGGGTTCGTGCATGTACGAGTCAAGGGGAATAATTTCTCAATGTAGTAATAGTAACTTACCTGATGGATACGGGCAGGTTTACTTCACACCCAGTACGGCGACGTCCAGTCAAGAAGTCTAAATTAGCAGGTGTAATTCGCTTTTTTCTCTATAGACTCCGGAGCACACGAAAAATGTACCAGTTAAAATCCCAAAGGTGCACGAAAATTGTGTACGTTAACAACAGATATGATTACAAGGCACGCTTGGGATATTTTACAAGTATAAACACATGGCACTGACACTGATTTACCCGTACAACTCTGTATATTGTACAAGGCCATTGATTGTAAGTGAACACAAAAAGCCCGACTGCCGTAGCGACGACCCCCGGCCCTTAGAAACGGGGTAAATAATAACAAACCCTAGCCGTACGTGGTCGGACCCTCATGCATATTATGTACGTACACATGATGTCACATGCACAGTGCACTTTGTTCAGGAGATTAGGCGGGGGCGTGTACTATGTCGTTCACATAGGGTATTTACATACATGGGTTGTTATAAAGCATAATCTGATATGTGGGAAACCATGATAATTGAGTCTCAGTCTCATACAAAGAGCTAGTGCAAGAATTGCACCTGCACAGGAAAATACATGTTGATTGAAATCGTCTGGAACATAATTATGGCAAGTCAATATGTATAAAGGGAAACCCTTTTCCCCTGTTTGCAAGACGAAACTGTTTCGCACTGTACACTGAACTAAAATGTGTTGGAGTTATCGTAATTGATAAACTGACGTGAAATGACGATAATATAACTTTACAGCAGGGTTCGACCTTAACTTTTTTCCACAAGCCAGCCGGCTTCTGAAACGGACTCTTATACACTAACCCGCGGGCTAATTCACTAACCCGCATGTTTCCCTTTTATAAAGTGTCTCATAAACAACAATGTGCATACATCTAAAACGTCTATCCTGTGAGGCAATCTTGTCAGTGCTTTTGATAAACAGATCTAATAATTAAAAGTTAACCCCGAAAAAAGTTAATAAAATTAGACACAAATTGATACAAGCTTGCTCTCTGAATTTAATGATTAATTTCTTCCTGTCCTTTCATCTTTGCCGTAGTCTAATAATTTTTGACTTGCCAGCCGGGCTACTTATAAGGAATATATAAAGTTCGACTTGCCCGCCGTTGTTTTTACTATTTGGCTAGCCGGGCTACCGCTAAAGTCGAACCCTGTATTATATTGCTAAAACCAGTTCTCTCCATCTGAAACTTCGGACGTTTCTTCCCCGGCCCTCCAATTACGATTTAGGCCTATACATTCTTCCTTATCTCACTCCAACATTGTCTGGGCGCGCTTTAAGTAACGGTCAACTTTACTCTCTTATTGTAGGTTTTCCCGGCTATATAAAAACGTTTATCATTCGAATCTACCGTTTCTAATAATACAATTCGTCCATCAACATCGATTTTGTGCACTTCAAATGTTTAATTTCGTCTTTTGTCAGACAATTTCAATTCAGTTCAAGTAAATTCAACTTAAGACAATGATGATACGTTTTCGTCTCGGAGTATTCGATTTCGTCTCGTCTACGCCAAACTTTATAATTCAGAAATCAAATTTGTTTAATTGATTTATATTAGACGAATTCGATCTCTGAATAAGGCAATTCGGCAACAGCTTATTTAGACGAATAAATCTGCAATGACGAATATTCTCGACCCGGTGACTAAAGAGGGTAACCAAACTTTAAAATCGATGGTAAATGGCTAAAATTGGTTTTGTTAATTAAAAGCGTGTGAAATTGTTCGTGGGTGAAATTGAGTGACAGCGTTTTGGTGATTTTGAATGAAAAATCTTTTAAAATAGCTGGGATATACCTATTCTATCCGAAAACGAGAGCCATTACAATATGCACCTTAGTTCTCTTCTCCCCGGGAACATAATAGTGCACGTATACACTAGCTCTCACGAACATTAACACATTTCAAAACAGGATTATTCATGTATTTTACCGGTATATTAACAAACTAATTCTTCCCAAGTTATTTTCATCATGCCTTTTCTAACTGTTCACCACATCGATATGGCCACAGGACAAGATCATCTTACAATCTTATGTTCCGTACACCCGCACATATCATATTCCATGACCACAATTCGATTTCACGGCAACTTTTTGCTGTTCGATGTCTCATCCAAAAGTGAATAATGTTTGTATTGCTTGATAATTCACAATTTGAAAACCATACTACATGTACATATTTCGGCGTGAAACTTGAAAATAGGAGGGGGGGGGGCCACTTTTTAACATCTATCCAAAAGCTGTTTAAAACTGTGGGTTTAATAATACAGAGACAATCTTGTTAGTGTGCCCATTCCGTGATGGAATCATTATTTCCATTTTACACAAGATCTGCACTCTTTTGGTCTTCAAACACTCTACGAGAAGATTATTTACAGACTGATCGACATTAATATAATGCAGCAACTAGTACGGTCCTTATTCAAAAATTTAAAACTTAGTGTTACTGTGGGCCGATGTTTTAGACCAATCTTTCCAAGGATCATATGGGTGGAATTGGCAATTCAGGAATTTATATTTCAGTGTGCCACACCCAAAAACTAAGGACAAACATACTAACTTTCACCACAAAATGCAAATAAAACAATCGTTGGATGAAACGGAACACACCAAAATTTGTCGCCAAGCAGCGCCTTGTGTAAAGTAAAAACCAAAAAAAACCCCACAAACACAAACAAACAAAAAGAAAAATACGGACACAAAACAGACAAATGTTCAGTACGAATAGTGTTCTATTTATTTATTACAAAACTACATGTTTGTACAATAAAAGTGACAAAAGTGACCATGCAACATCAAAGGTTAGTAAAAATACAAAAACAAATATGATAAGTGAAGATATGAACTTTCTGATGAACAAGATTTTTTTTCCGACCAGCGGATCGATCACGAGTACAAAATATAAGGACACTTTCTTGATTGAAATGTATATCACTATTTGTTTTGCACCTGTCTTAAAATATATTAAATTCAAATTTGCCCCCGATCAAATATACAAAATGATGTATTGTATTAAGCCACCAAAACTATACATTATCTAAATGTTACAATTGATTATACAGCAATACAACAATTTTTCATTCTAAAAATATATATCTGTGTTAACAACTCCATTCTCGAAGTACTGCAATATGAAAGACGCTTTCAAGAATTTAAAGGAACTTCATGGAAAATAATACACAAAATTACTAGATATTTAAAACTGCACAATAAAATGATCAAGACTTCTTAAGTATAATTTAAATGTGACAAAACTACAAGGATAAACGACTTCTCCAAATTTCTGGTTACATGCGTGATACAGCCCTTGCGCGTCGTGCCGACTGCAACAAGATTTCATGTAGGGCGCCAGCTAGCTGTTGGGTGCGCGCTCGCGCATTGTTCTACATGTTCTATGCGTGTTCTATGCGCGGACGCGGCATATCAGCATGTAGACAATCTGTTCCATACATTTTGTACACAAGCTTGGACGAGTTGTTTACCCTTGTGTAGAGGATCCATGGTTTGAGTAACATGAAGAAGAACACTATGCACCAAAAACATAAAATGCTGCTGAAAACAAATCTGAAAGTACAAATCTGATGGTACAAAATTCCCTTGCTGTTTACATATTTATACTTGTATAAAAAACATAACATCCTAAAAAACGTTGGCCTAGTCTTTTCCTAATTGGATACGAAATAAAAAAAAAAAGAGGGTTCGATACCTTTAAAAACCATTTGCACAAGAAAAAGAGGAGCAACACAAATTTATATAATGATAGAAGTGACTATGAATATCATGACGAGGTGGGGTATTGTGGCAAAATTACACAATTTACATCTTATCCTCAAGCAATGTTACTGTTAGTTTTCAAGGAGTAAATGTACACTATATAAAATGGAACTGTTAATGCTGTGAAAGTTAAATGAAATATACATTGTACATGTACATTAATATAAACTACTTGGAACAAAATAACTTCACATACAAAATCACCCAGAAACTATAAAAGAATTGTAATATTATATAAGGTGTGCTCGTGAAATTGGCATGCACTGATGACAAATATTTGGACTTACATGAAGGACTAATCAACCATAACAGGCTGTAAACGATTTTTGCACCAAGGCATAACAAGCTCTAAAAATCAGTTGACTGGCTGTTTTAAGTTGCGTTTTAATCATGAATGAATAGTTTGAAATATTTTGCTCTATTTGTGAAGAATGAGGATTGATTGATAATTATATGAAAAGTGAACAAATCGAAGCAGGTCATTTTTAAGAGGTGGTTATATGGCAGTGCAAGTGAATAGTTGAAAAAATAACAACTTCGCACAGGAGGCTAGGATTGCATTCAGTTTGGTGTAATGTTGAAGTTGATGATTACTCTGCTACAGCCCATTAAGGGTGGATAGGTACAATTTGATATTATTCTTCACCATCAATTTTACCCAGATTTTCAATACACTGGTATTTTAGACCCGGCCACCAGCTCCGCGGCAAGAGGAGGTCATACTTTCCCACTTATCTGGGTTCTTCCTAAAGTAGAAAACTGAGCCTCCAACAATGACAACAAGCACTACGAGGGCGATGACCACTCCGGCCACGAACCCCCCACTGACTGTGCCTCGGGCCACGTAGGCCCCGCCCTGGTCCACTGAAAACACCAACTCCTGCCCCTCCGTCTTGGCGTCCATCCGCACCCAGTTGACCAGGTTGTCCGGGTCGCTGCGGTAGACCCCGATCATGTCCGTGTTGGACTCCAGCAGCTTGATGCGCACCTCAAACTTGCGGTCGCCCACGGTGAACTTCTCCACGGGGGTGATGACCACGAAGTTGGTCTCGTAGTAAGTGCCGGGGAGGTTGTCTGCACCGCCTTTGGCCGTTACGGCCTCGTGGCCGCGCTCCGGGCTCCATTCCTCCATCTTGATGTCTTCAAGGTGATCCAAGGTTCCCTGGGTGAAGGCCAGAACTCTGCATGCAAACAAAAGTCAAGATCGACATCAGTTTTCCCCACAAAAATTGAACACAAATTTCATAAAAAGCCTCCTGTTTTACATGTACTAGAGGTCACGTGTCTTAAGAACTGGATTTCCAGACAGGTTTCAGCTGGCCAGTTAAAGATAAACATGTATGCACAATATTTATCTGAAGTCCTAGCTTCAAGGGAATAATGAAACCAAAACTGGACACATCGGTGGAAAAACATTTTTTTTTATGCGCCCCGAGGGTGTTCATAACATCATATCCCACATCACAGCAGTCAATAATTGTTAAATGACTTTCAAGCTGATATAACAAGCTCAATGTCTCTAGCGATGATATACCTTGCACATGCATCAACTCAACGTACCAAACACAAGACTTAATTCATCTTTTCAGCCCATTCAGCTATAATTCTTGGTTCTTGGTTGGTTCTTCTCCTAAATACTCCACGTGGGAGTTTATACAGGAGGCCAGAAACACCGGGGCAAACCCCTTCTCTTAGCGATAAGTGTTTACTGGGTTCTTTTACGTGCATTTATACAACACACGGGACCTACGGCTTAACGTCCCATCCGAAGGACGAAGCAATAATGGTTAAGTGCCTTGCTTAAGAGCACAAGTGTCCGCCGGCGGGCTCGAACCCACGTCACTGTTGCCTCTGAAACACCAGAACGTGAGTCCAGTGTTCTTAACCGCTAGGCCATCACACTCCACTATATAATCTAGGACATTCAATGTATAAACTCACCCAGTTTGAGACTCCACCTGACCCCCTGTCCATCCAATGGAGGTGTACGCCACCGGCTCAGACTTACTGATGATGCGTCCCTTCTGGCTCCGATTGGAGAAGTTGTTGTTGCGCGTGCACATGTAGTGGTAGTGACCGGTCATGGTGACGGCCAGTGGCTTGGCATCGTAGAAGGTTCCTGCGTCATCCAGCTCCGACATCTCACCTCGGAATTGATCTGTATGGGGAGGATAACATCCAAATTTAGTTACGACAGTTGAAAACCTTAAAGGGAAAATACAACATTTGCAAACATCAAAAAATAAAACTACCAAATCATTTTAAAATACCTTGCGGGACTGTTAGTGAATGACAGTGTAAAGCATCCTGTAAAATCATGGCACCTGGTATACTGTCATTTTCAAGAAAAGTGGTATTTTTGTATCAATTTCCAACGCTGATCGGCCGATCAGCGTTGGAAACAACTGGCTTTTTTTTTCAAATACTGGCCCCAATTGACCATCGCACTTGTTGGCAATCGATTACAAACCTATGAACAGGTACGAGCCAGCTAGACTGGTTCCCTGACCTTACAATTCCCCAATGTATGTAAACTGCTCTGTTTCTTCTTATATGAAGTCAGGGAACCAGACTACAGGAAAACGATCGTTTTTCTTGGTTTTTATAGCATTTTCGAACCCAAAACCTCAAAAAAGTCAGTGTAACTATATTTGCTATATATTTCCAACCCCCCGATTCCATCCATTTCTGAAAATTACAGCAAAAGCAAATGATGTATATTCCCTTTAAATGTGACCATGACAATAGAGAGTTTTCTTTATATCTGAACAGATATATGTGTACGAATGTGCATGTTCCATCGTGTACGCATACTCTTATACTATCTCAGTCATGTGACTGGTCCTACCTCAAGTAAGATGGCTGCTACACATTAGCAGCCAATTTAACAATACTTTACGCAAAGGCATAACTCCACTGCGCCAGAATTGATTGTGTAAGTTACGCGACATTTCATTCCGTGCAACATTTCACTAATGACACTTTTCACGAACGTTTCATAGTGTGTCAGTCAGCAACATGCGCATCAAATTATGGCCTAACTTGCGCAATCATTTATGTGGCGTAAGTTGTGGCGTAGCGACTGGAAACGAACTATTTTACGAGCAAATCGGGCTCGTCGAGGAGCCTGTTATTGCGCAACTAATCAATGTTGACATAAGACACTCAAAGTTTTGTATCTGAGGTAAATGAATGCTACTTCAATTGTGACAATTTTTTAGAGTTACCACACGTTTACCGTACGTTTCCAGAAAGATGGACAAAGCTTTTTGTTCCAAAATGGCGGGCAGAGGTGACTATCAAAATCCTACACAAACAGCCGTTAAAAATGCTTTAATTATCCTCGTCCAAGATGTTTAGATTATTCAAAACACTACGCAGTTACACCAAGTTTCATGAAATCGATCATACATTTATTGTGCAGCTGTGCAACAAATTTGCTGCGTAAAGTCCCTTGTATGGCATAAGCTATGCACCGTTTCATAAAATTGGCTGCAGGTCTATAATGAATAGCATTACAAATATTAACATGAGGATTCACGACTGAGTGCTTACGACTGCTGAGCACGGCCATATCTTGCAAGTCTGCCCGGCTGAAGCCCAGGAAAGTTGTCTCGTCCAGGTTGAGTGGGTAGTTCCTGCCCAGTTGGCCGTTCTTAGTGTAGGGGGCGTAGTATGACAGCCCGCCCTCCGCGTAGGCTGGACTTTCCAGCATGACGATATTGGAGCGGTCGGTACCCGGTAGGCCCTGGCCGTCATTATTATTGGGGTTGGTGTTGGAACCAGTCCATCTGGGAAAAGAAAATGCAACAGTGATGATCGGGCGAGAGTGCTTTTTACAATGAAGTCTAGGTAAATCCTGGTTTTTGTCAAACATGGTCCGGAAGATATCTTCGTCTGATATCATAAACTCTTCATAACTTACAATACATTGCAGCGCTATGAAATAACTTACATGCAGCTCTTCAAATCATTTAATAAAACTCGGTTCAAGTGCGGTGTATTGTTTGAGTCTTAAAAGCACAATACGGTAATTACATGTACATAAAACAGGCATAGTAGATGATCTGTCTAAAATTCAACAATGAGTCTTCCGATCTCCTGATTCTCTTCTGGATTTTTTTAACAGGACAAAACTGCATATAGGTATAAATATTGCGGAAGAGTATGCGCCTAAATAAATCATGACTTTGCATACACAAATGATCCAAAAATAGAATGTCAGATCATTGAGATAACGATTGATACCTTGCAAATACTTTCAGTTGATACTAAAATACTTTGCAAACAAATTTTACAAAATTGTACATGAATTACTCACTGAATATGGATGTATTCCCCAGGCACGGTCTCTATAGTGTTTGGCACAAAGTCATACTCCACTCCTGGGTAGACCTGCACGATGTTCCCACGCTTGCCGCGGACGTTCAGATTGCGAATGGTGGCAGTTGCCGGGACATCCGCAGGACGCTTGCGGATGGCAAACGTGTGGGACCTGCAAGGGAAATCTATGTTAATATGGCTTAGCATTATCCACTGGACTTTTAAAACACTCTCCTGTGCTCAATACAATCCATTTTCCTTGAAGGGTCTGTACTGTCCAGTATGTCGGGGAGACCAAGAACACTCTCAAGAAATGTTCCTATGGCCATCGATCAAATGTCAACATCACCCCTAACCCACGGCCACGGGGTATTCTCTAGGCACCCTGCCCAAATTGCAACAGAATGTAGTGAACTAATACATGTACATGCCAGCCTTGGTACCAAGTACCTACCCTGCTAAATGCAACGGAATGCAGGCATGGAGTGCATCAGATCAGGAGACTGCTAAATGCAACAACTTGCAACAACTTTTTACTACTGGTGCATTCTGTTGCACCCTGCCAAAAATGCAACAGAATGCAGTGAACTAATACATGCCAGCCTTGGTACCAAGTACCTATCCTGCCAAGTGCAACGGAATGCAGGGGTGGAATGCAACAGATCGGGAGAATGCTAAATGCAACAACTTTGTACCACTGGTGCATTTTGTTGCATTTAGTAGGGTTATTCTCTAGGCACCCTGCCAAATGCAACAGAATGCAGTGAACTAATACATGCCAGCCTTGGTACCAAGTACCTACCCTGCCAAGTGCAACGGAATGCAGGGGTGGAATGCATCAGATCAGGACACTGCTAAATGCAACAACTTGCAACAACTTTTTACCACTGGTGCATTCTGTTGCATTTAGCAGGGCTAGGGTTTAGAGAATGAATGCCCTTGTCGGTCACTATTTCAACCAGCCTAACTCATTCCATTTCTCTTATGATTTTACAAGACACAGAATCACTGGGCAATCACACTCGCACTGTCTGCACTCTGCAGGGAAAAAGTGTGGATGAAGCGTCTTCCGACTACTATTCAACCATGCAAACTCTACATCAAGGAAGGGAATGGCTGACACGGCTTACTATTTAAATTTCTCCTCCATTGTAATTTGTTACAGATACTCTTCCTGGCAAACTCTCCTTTGGTTGATCTTCTCATGTATTGTCCTCCCTTTGATCTTTACCCACTGCAACATCATTTTGCCCCCCCCCCCCTCCTCGCCTTATTAACCACTTCGCGCCCGGATTTATTTTGCCGAAAATTTTGATTTTCGCAACAGGCAAAATTTTCCAGCCAACTTCTGATATACAGCCAAAAAAAACCCACCATGCTTCAAATACTGATTCGCAGGAGTCATTTCAACAGTATTTGTATGATATTTCTTGCCGAAACCTCGTGTTTCAATTCTCCAGGGTGTGCACTGGAGTGCACATTTTACAATATGGGTTGTGCACAACGGCCAATTCAAGATCAACACACGGTCCGTCTCCACAGATTTCACAGACTTTGTGTGTGTATAGACACAAGGGATGTTTAGATATCACCTGGAGGCGAGTCAAGGCAATCTTGACATTTTGACCCGTTACATGCCTACGTACAAAACAGCCAGTGTGTGTTATCACATCCTCCAACGTGAACTTGTTAATTACTCCTTTTTTTAAAATCCTTTCTTCAACCACTGCCATGCCCCTTTGGATCTTTCCCTGCATCATCCCCTCTTTTTCACAACCCCTGCTCCCTGTTTGATCTTTACCCACTGCCTCATGAGGGTACATCCTTCATAATCCTGGGGGTATTTATAGCATGTACCTGTCTTGAAAGGTCCTGCCCAGTTGAGCCGTGTTGATGGCAAGGCGCAGCTCAAAGTTTTTATTGTTGGTGCCCTCCACATTGCCAAACACATCCACTTCGGGGTTGTTTTCAAAGACATACCCTCGATCATCCCCTGCTTCAAGATTTGCAAATCCGTACCTGGAGCGATGAAATACGGACACAATAAGGAAACTTACTCCATAAGCACCCGTGTTATATTATAATACATTGTATATAATCCTTGATATTTAGCATAAAATATCTGCTTATTAAGCACCAATATTAAACTGGTAAGCAAAATAATTTAGACCCTTTATTTTTGGCTTATTCAAAGTTAAATGCGCACTCAGAAGAAATTATGTGTATGGGCATCATGTTGGTATTATTCTTCTACTTGCGTAGAAAGCTGGTCCAAGAGTGCACACAATTCTATTCAACTGGTTTAGAATGACTATGCACTGCAAGTCTGTTCATGCATCTGGTCTCAACTATGGGCTGGATTTTGCCCATTGATTGGCGTTATAGGGTAATCCTCCACGATAGCACTGCCCGACTCTCTTCGTGAATCTTCCACCACAACAAGTCACGAGCGATGATCAGATAGGTACAGAGGATTCTAGGTTAGCCGACTGGGTCCCGCACCAATCAAATACTGCATTTCTATTTGAGCTTGTATTTAACCTGCAACAAATCTGGCAAAAAAAAAGTGGTGTGAGGTCAAGCTACCGGTACGTACTTTGTTGCGACATCCAATGTGCTTTCTTGATTTCCCTGCTTATTGAGGGAGGCATTCACGTTACCGGACCATCCGTTATATTCACCTGTTGAAATGTTGTACCTATAAACAAAAGTTAAAACAAAAAACTTGTATGAAAATAAATTGAGCACTCACTTTAATTGTAAATAACATAACTTGGGAAAAAAATGATCTTGTGTAGTATCAGCCCAAAATATTGAAATTGGACGATAGATTCCTCCACTTTTTTTAGTGTCGTAATTCAGAACAGGTGGGATAGCTTGTCTATTGTAAAACAAAATCCATCATGCATGCTGACCTGAGAAACGTATCACACACGAACATGTAGATAGCTTTGCTGATTTTTTTTGTTAGTGGCTCAAACCCCTGCTTTGCCTTAATAACAAGGAAAAAGACTACCCTTTTGTCTAGAAAACATGACAACAATTGTGAGGCGTTCTGGTAAAATGAAATGGGACTGGGCACAGGCTGCAGTAGAGAAATATGCAAAATTTGAATGTGGTGATATTTTGGGGAATTTTCAGATTTACTGACATCTGTAATCGTATGTCTACTATACACATTTAAAATATAGTATAAAATTGTAGAATAAAAGTGTTGTTAATGAAACAAAATCGATATCTTTTAACTTTCATGACTACAAAACTCTAATCTTTAAATGCTTTTTCTAAGGATTCTACTTTTTTGACCTGTCCATACATGTGAACTTTACACAGTCATAACTTGTCAACGGAAAGTTTGATTGAAGTGCAACACACAGTATTGTAAGAAGAATTTTATTCTCTTTCCTAATACCCGCAAAACCTCACATCAAACTCTGCCCAATTCTGTACTCATTTTGCCAGAACGCCTCACAATTGTCAACTGATACAATATGAGACAGGGTCATGTTTGTTACACTGTTGGGGGGGCATGACCCCCCATTGCAATTTCCAAATACTAACATTTGACACACAGAATTCCTTAAGACAACGGAACACCTACCGTATTCTCATGACACATCTTTCGTGATCGATGTTTGGAATGGTCCAGTTGTACGACAGCGTCTGGCCGTAGATGCCGTTGCCGAGGTGATTGTCACGTGACCAGTGGCTCTCCCTGCAGTCTGGTGCCGCGATGCCGTGGGCGGCCACTTCGGCCCAGACTCCTCGGGTGCCAGTGCCATCCTGTGCATCTGCTGGATACACAATGGCCTGAGGTTTTTTTTTGGGGGGGGGGGGAGGAGGGGGAGGTAAGTAGAAAGCGAAACCGATGATACATGAGTTACACTAAAGTGAGTATAGTATTTTCAATATTTCTCATATTATCATTAGCAAGGTGAAATTCAATAGTGTGTATTATAACACACCTCTTGTTTGTTCTTTATCCTGGTTGGCTGAAACCTGGTCATGTGTGATTCAATGATATAGGCTAGATAATATAGACGTGCACTAGTGACCTCATTGCCAGTCTATATGTGTATACAATGTACTAGTACATGTAACAACTCTATAGGCATTTGTTTGAAACCTTCATGAATTCTCCCAAATTTACAACTGTGCTTGAAACAAATTCCCGTTTTTTAAAATTATTATTTTAACTTTTTAAGGTGCGTGAAGTCTACACCACATGTAACTCAACTGTTGTGCAATATTTTCAAAAAATGTCTTGGATGATTTTGAGAATTTGGTAAGGTAGCGTTAAACTATGAGTAAAAACTTAAACGGGGGTTTAGTATTATCTTCCCAGGAAAATTGTCAAATGTACACCTTGTTGTGATGGTTGATTTAGGCCAAATATAAATAGAACATGTTTAGCGTCCCCACCCGCTTCCTTTTTGGAGGCTGCCTCCTTTTTTTTTTTTTTTTTTTTTTTTTTTAAACACAAAAAAAGGATAAATTTTAAACAGTGACATCATTCTGGCCTCTTTGACTGTTGAATCTAGCCCATATAAAGGTGGTACCGGTATGTCATTCCTGAGTCCAAGTGGCGGCCATTTAAAAAAAAAGCTGGCGGCCATCTTGAAAAATGGCCGGTCATGCGGCCATGTTGGAAGGAAAAAGAAAAAAGAAAAAAGGGCCTCTTCCTTCCTTTTTTTTTCAAAAAGCAGGACGCTAAAACATGTTGGTTTTTTTTTTCACTTGGCCTTATTGTCTCATTTCCCACAAAGAAAAATTTAATGAAGTGACGGAAATGAAACTTGTCCTTTGGAGAAAAACTGTGATGACAAAAAAATTGGGCAATTTCCACAGAATAAGAAATCGACATTAAATAAAACTTATGCCTGTTTTGGGGGTTTGTTGCTTTTGTTTGGAAGGGGTGTTTTTCAGATGGCCAGGGTCTACATGAAACCAATAATGCTTCTCCCTGCATCAGACTTCAGGTATTACCTCACATTCTTCCTTAGTGATGGGGATGATGGGCTGACGTGAGCTCATGTTCTCTTCAATCATCTCCCGTGGCAGGGTGCAGGCATAGCGAGCCTTGACGTTAGCGCTCTCGGCCTGGTAGTAAGGGCACCGCGTGGCATCGTTGGTCAAGATTGCAACGTCCTGTACATTTCAATGACAATTTATTAACCGTGGTGGGAATTTACATGTCATTCAAAACAGGCTTTTTCTGCCTGTCTGAAATCGAAGAGTGCACTGACCAATTAGATTATGACTTTTTGTCATGTGACCACAAGAGCTTGGTCAACGTTCGTCGCAAGCTCTGTAAAAAATGTGCACAAACCAATTTGTGGGCAGGGCTGAGGGCCAAATGTGAGATGGTAGGGCCATATTTATCAGTTGGTATCCAACACGTACATGTAGGCTGCTCACAGCATGAGAATTTCTCTGAGAACCAAAACAAAATCTTGCGCTGGCCAAAAATTAAAGGCATGTTACTTGAAGGTATGGGATCATGGATTGTACTTTAATTTTCATCTCTTTGTCCATTTTTTTTTAGGTTTCTAAGCAGATATCTGCAATGAATACTGGGGTTATGTCCTTTGGATAGCAGGTACTCGTCTGTGCATGAACATGGAATAATACTATCCAAAAAAGAAATGCAACTTTATCATAAAACATACTCAACATGAATTCATCAGGATTATAGGAAACCCTGTTTATTGTTTTCAGCACATGGCTTCTCATTGGGAGTCACTGAGGCGTGAGCCTGACAACATGGATCAACTGGTTTTTGTGAGGTTTAAGAGAAATTAAGGCATTATTGTGTATCACAAGCAAGATTACATGTTGAAAGCTACCTTCTTTGGCTAGTGTATCATCTTGGACAATTTTTCTGGGAGTAACAGCACAGGTGCAATGTGTGCATTTCAGGTGAAAGTCATGTAAATGTACTCTGTTTTTGTTTTCAATTTCACTGACTTGATTCTTGCCCCAAACTGCAGTGATCGAATTCACTTCCCTTTACTAACAGACTCCCTGGTAAATGCCAAGTCATGTTCATTCTCAGAAATGAATACAAAAGGAGGGTGTATATATCAACGACAATTTTGCGGAAAGTGGGCAAGGACAAAGGAAATGTATTCAGGAAATTATTTTTCAATGCCAACTCTAAAAAACAGGTGTACTTTTCTACCAGAATGTTAACATGTTTAATTCTTTGATTCAATACAAAAAAAACTGCTAAATAACGTTTATCTTGAATCTTTTATTTCAAACTTTTTTTTATTAAACTGGATTTTTAATTTTGTGTTCTCTACAGTCTGCTCTGGTTGAATACAAACTCAGCCAGAACTGGCCAAAATGTTGTTTGAATATTATTATTTAATATGTAAGTGGAGCACTACACAATGTAGTTTCAGTCATGGCGCACATAAATGAATGCTCAGTAGTCAGGATCAAGGATTTCTGTTCACTATTGACTGTAGGTCTCCTTCAAATGGCGTCATTTCCTATAGACCATCCATGTACATGTACATCAGCATTTTGAGCGTCAACTTGCATAACGCACATCGGCTGCATCATATTTCAACCACATTTCGAGCAACAAGCGCGCGTGTTTGGAACATTTTCAACACTGTGCAATGCGTGTTTGACTGCGTAAAATACATGTTCTCCTTACAGAAATGGCTGCCACTGAGCGACCCCTACAACTAGAATTAACGTTGCTGTGAGTGTGAGTCAACTGACTTGTTTTTGGTTCAATACCTTCATTGTACGGTACTTTTACATTACTAATGTAATTCAACCTGGCAATAATCCCACTGATAAGGTGAATTGATAAATGCCCCCAAATATGCATAACTATAGGCCTTACACTACATGTAAATCAGTACCCTTTATCCAATTACAAATACATAGTCTTTATGGGACTACCAGCTTACAATCAGCTGTAAAATATTTTGGATATCATTGAATAAATACTTGTGATAAATCTGTAAATGTACATGTACAGCGAATGTACCACCCTACATGCCCTACCAACCAACCCCCTTTATCTACATCTGATAAAACTGAACAATCCAGAAAACTTGTTGTACCCTCCTTGAAAGATTGAGCAGTGTTGTACAAGTTAAATAAACTGAATAACCTGAAAAGTTGTGAACTTTACTTTGAACACAATAAATGTACATCATGTACATGACATTTTTTCTTACACCACGTACATGAACTAGAATGGGACTACCGGTACCAGTACCACATGTACTTGTAATGAATTCTGTCAATTTGACATAAATTACACAGTGACGGATTATCCTACTCTGATGCTTTAAAATGGGATTCAAATTTGTTTCAAAAGTGAAACGAATTCAAACGTCTATGCACCTCTCAGTGTGCCTTAATGTTGACTCCACTAAGATCTACTTGGAACTAGCGGTACACTGTACATTATGTATACATGTGGATACAATGTACCAGTAGCTTCAAAAATAGAAGCAGGCCCAGTCAGTTTGTCCCCCAATTCATTTTGTTATGCTCAAATTTTCCAGTACAGTGCGCATGTTTGTGTGCTTGACCATTGACGAAAAGCGGTTGCACCCACATATTTTGATGTGTACTGATGCAAATCGGTTCAAGTGAATCGTTTGTCAACAAAATCACAAGCGATGCGTTTGCTCTATCGAACCTGTAAATTCTCCCCCAGCCCAAGGCAAGTGCACAGTTAACATGGTTAAGTCGGAAATGCTTAGAACTGAGAAATGAAGCACTGTTACGTGTATTTAGAATTTTGTCCCAACCGTATTGCTATTGATCAATTGTGGTTGGTACTGTAATCTTTATGCATTACTCTGTACCGCCCAAACTCCCCAAGGGTAGATGGTTTTGTGGATTCCTCGGGGAATAAATACAATGTAAATACATACATTGAAGTAGCAGACCTGTGCTAATGGGTGTTTAAAATAAACGTAGCCTCCATTTTGATACCATGTCTAGAAATGGGTTGCATACCACATAGTGGTGGGATTGTGCGCTTGGGCAAGGCACTTTACTACGATTGCCTCTCTCCACCTAGGTGTAGTAAATGGGTACCTGGTAGGAAGAAATTCCTTCAATTCTTGAGCGCCGTAATGGCAGCCATGCTAAAGCCAGGGTAATAATAGAGCGCCAGGAGCGTCACTTCGGGACGGACATGAGCGCTATACAAGAAGCCACTATTATTATTATAATTATTATTATTATTTAAATCCAAATTTTTTAAATTTCAGTTTTGCAAACAGGGTATTCAAAACTTAACTTCAAAAAATTAAGCCTTCTTTTTTTGTGACTCAAGCTTAAGAAAACAACTGAAGCATACCCCAATTTGCTACGCGGTCTCCACGGTAACTGCACTCATTTGCTAGTGGTCTTCTTGGTATACGAATAGCCTGACATTTGACTTATCACGAGAGTTCCTATTCATTTATTTTTGTTTCAACATTACAGCTCTTTGAGTGATTTTGTAACTAGGCCAAAGGGTGAGTGAAGCCCACAAAGTATACGCAGTCATTGGGAGGGCGTTTCATGCGACACCTCACTCGTCACCTTTCGTTGGCATGACTGTGAGCTGGATCATAACTTTCCGTGAAATGATATAACCGTTATATGGTTTCAAAACAATTAGGATAACCAGATTTTGAAATCTCTGATTTCTCTCACCACTAATACCACATAATGCAAACAATACTAAGGCCAAAAAAAAAAAGTCTCCGGTTTCTGGTATGCGCGCGCGTCTCCGTAGCCATGCGCGTGGGCAAAAAGAAAAAGTTTTTTTTTCAATGAAAGATGATGTCTCAAAACCGCCAAACTCACTGGTTTGACTGGAATCCTGCTGCTGCACAATTTTAACGTGTTTTTAGATGGGGTTATGATCGAGAATAAGCTTTATGTGGCCTCTCTGGACTCCCATATATTTGCACTAAGTCTAGTCGGGCACCATTTGCAGTCATCAGCCTACATTTTCAGGCAAAAAAATCAGGTTAAAAAAAAAAAAAAAGCCGCGTCGCCGCACCACTTTTTGGGCAAGCTCCATACCAAAAACCGGAGACTTATTTTTTTTGGCCTAAAAGTAGCTATCTTTTTGTGCAAATGTGGACAATGATCACCACATGGATGGAACCGACCCCATTGGTTTCAGCTCACCCTCCAAGGCGACGGCCCCCAGTATGGGTAATAGTCCCTCTCCTCCGGGCACTCGTAGCCCCTCCTGGTACCCCCTGGGTTCTGACGGGTGTACTTGGCAGAGTTGCCTTTCAGGTTCTGTTGGAAAAATCATCAGATGATGTGGAAACTGAATGTACATGCCAGCAGCAAAGTGTCAGGCCATCTTTGTGCAATGCATCAGTACTTAAAATTATGTATTTCAATTTTCAGTCATGTTAAAAAAGCCTAGAAATCAGACAATTTTCATATTTTTCTCTGTGCGGTTTTGCTTATGACTTCCCCCACAGATAGCCCATACATGTACATAAACACATGTACTGTACTTATTATGCAATTTTTAAAGCTTACATGTACAATTCTAACTGTTAGGCCCTATTGTTTCTCCTTTTTTTCTTTCTGGTTATGCCACATTTACTACTACCATAAAGACAGAAACATTTGTTTAAAATTCACTCAAGGTATTTCAGACAACAGAAAGGAGTTTTGAACTATGGTTTTTAATGGTTTAAGTGCAGTTTATGTCCCTTGGTAAAAAAAAAAAAAAATCAAATTAAAAAAAAAACCCAACTAAACGAACAAACAAACATGTGTAAATGGCCTTGAAAATACTTTGATATCGCTTGGATATCACTGTTCCACAAAAGCACCCAACCCATTACAGGAACTGGAGTTGTTTGTTACATCAAGTTACCGCACCAGGAAGATGCACATCACTTCCTCATACCTGGAAAGTAACAACTTCCTGCTATCTGCCAACGTAAGCTGATCAGCTTATCAACAAGGAATGTCAAAAAGAAAAAGAGAACAGAAAAGAAAAGGAAAGGAACAAAGAATGAAAGAAAGGGAAGAAAAATTTACAGAGTAGCTAGATAATACCTTGGCTTAATGATTCTTAAGATCCCACACAGATAACAAACAAATGGGGTCTTCTTGTCCTCAGAACTACAAATTTACACATGCTCCAGCGCAGTACTGCAGATTCATTGTTACATGTTGACCAGTAAGAATTGTGCAGTGGTTCAAAGTACTTTCTGGTAATGACGTGATTGACTGACTGTGGGCGTTCTGCATCAGGATTAATACCACAATGACTGTAGGTTGCTTGTGTATTGAATTGAGAGTTTGCCTGTCGATGAAAACTAAAAAATTCCATTTGCTTCCTGGTTCAGGATCATTATTGCTTTCCCATGAAATAGTACAACTGTGACTATACAAGGATAAAGCTTTCTTTCACAGGAAAAGATGCAAAACAAATGACACAATAGGGGCTCTAGTGCTTTCAGATTTTCAGGGTTCAACTCACAGTGAACTTTCCATGTCCGGGTTTGAGTAAAAACAAGTTAGAAGTTGGAATATGCAATGACATTGTATATTTCTTGAACATGTTTAAAATGTCAACAGTGACACTCACAAAATGAGTTCCTTGGTCGTGGGAATTAATATTTCCAACTTAATCTGCACCACTCAACATTGAAGTTGAACTCGAAATATTGACTTTCATCCCAAAATTCAGAATGGGTTTGGATTTTGGAAACCTCATATTCACAACCAACCCCATAAAAATGAAGCCTTCCCTTTTTTTGAGACACAAGCTAAAGAAAAAATCTGGAACATCTCCAATTGGCTCCAAATTGTCTCTGAGTGTGAATTTACTTTTTAATGGTCTTCTAGGTTCAAGATTAGCTTGCTCATTCGGCTGATCAAAGAGTCCCCATCCAGCTTGTCACCATTACAACTCTGCATTGTTTTCGGAACGGCCAACTGGACAATGAATCTCGCAAACTGTACCCAATGTTTGTGGAGGGCATTGCATACAGCACGGCACTGCACTCCTCACTTTAGTTGTCATGACTACAAGCTGAATGGAAACCTCCAGTGAAATCAGATAACCGTTACTTGGTTTAAAAAAAAAATGGGATAACCTGATTTTAAAATCTCTGATTTCTCTAACCATTACTTTTTTTTAGCGGGTTGCAGTTGCCTAAAATAGGGGATAAGGGCATTTTTTTTTCTCTTAGATTATAAATTGTAGAAAAACACAGGGACAGCAACTTCAATGTACATCGATCTACTGTAAAAATACATTGCACTACAAAAATGAGCATGTTTACTTTAAATATTCTGCAACCCTCCCTCTTTCAGAGACAAAATGGAGAGAGATACCGTACCCTATCTGTCAGGTGACAGGTTTAAACAGTTCTGTAAATTGGGCTCATATTGGTACAATTAACAGGCTGTGGTAGTTTTGTTATCTGAGGGTACATGTATCATGCCTTGACTGACACTTATGGTGGGTCAGCGCTGGCGATCTATGACTATGAGTGTCTGTCAATTGATGGATTTAGTTCAGTAACAACGAATGCATAAAAGGCTCACTCATTCATATATCCCAGCAAAACAAAGGCATTGCCCTCTATTAAAGATGGCTGCTATGCAAGTTGTAGCAGAAGTCAAGGTCACCCAACATGTATCTTACAAACCTCTTCAACAGGTTATGACAGTTATACATACTGGTTTAATTCATGGGGGTTCTGGCAGTTGGTGAACAGCCTGCACGAAAGCTATGGGAGAGAAAGTGGATAGATTTTTTGATGGTTTGTGACAGTTCTATCAGCAGGAAGGTTAAACAGGGTAAAGCAAGACACCCAACTGAGAAAGGTTAACCCTAACTCCCTATGCCTTTTTGCTAGGATGTAGCCTCAATCCTGCAAAATCCTCCAATTGGCCTCATGGGAAAATAGCATATACCGGTAGCCCAATCCTGCAAATTCCTCCATTATTTCTTGAATATGGTCCTTGGAGAGGTGACCACTGCCTGAATCCTGCAAAATCCTCCGGCTATGACTGTCAATAGGCTGAGGCAGTGACATCCTGGAGCAGTGCGGAGGATTTCAAGTATAATCAACGACTAAATTTATGCTAGGCTGAGCATAAACAACACAAGGTCTGGCCTAAGACCTTGACACAGTGCGTCCTCCGAAATCAGCAATGCACTTTTGCCATGTAACCTCAATCCTGCTAATTCCTCCAATTTGCAGAAAGGATTTGGGAGGATTTGGGATGGTTAGGGTTAAATATGGTGGCTAGACAAGAATGGGATGTGAAAGTTTACATCAGTAGACCACTTTACCTGGTCAGCAGTGAAGAGATTTGCCTGTCGTTGTCGTAGCTTGCAGTTGAGGTAGTGATCGTAGGGTTCGTGCATGCCGTACTCAATGTCCTGATTGCAGTCGTACTCTGCACAGTTACTGGGCCATTCGGGTATGGTACTGAAAAAAAACATGTGATATCATATTGGGGCAATAGTTGATTCAAGATCAAGAACATCAGATTCAAAGTGGATATACAAAACTGACCGGCCCCTTGATGGTTAAAAGTTTCAGATTCTGAAAAGGTACGTAATCACGTCACGCATGTCAAACAATTGCCAGCAAAAGACCAGCCTATTACTTCTGACTGAGTCACTGACTGACCGCCCAACTGACTTGACTGAAATATCGAGTATGCAAAATGATGTCCTAAACTTCTCTGGCAAGTGAGGTCTGTCACGAGCCAGTATGGACCATCAGTCCGGCATTTCTCTCCAGTTTCCGTGGCATGAAACAATTGAGAACATTTCTGTTTCCCCCTGGATGGCATTCCAGTCCTCACAAGTTATACTCCCCAGCTAATCTTGGTACCCATTTATACTCAAGTTTGAGAGAGGCAAGTGGGGGTGGAGTGGCTTGCCCAAGGGCACAACGTATGGCCAGCTGCTGGATTCGAACCCCTGACCATCTGATCATGAGTCCCGACCCTTAAGCACTGGGCCACACTCCCCACTTGTAGGCCAACCCAGTCTCTGTTCCCAATAACTGTAGACTTTAGTGCCAATGTCATTCCTCTCTGTGCTTCTTGTGAACACTTCTAATTGTCAGTTTTGGCTTTGTGTTCTTACCTGGTTGTAGATCCATCCCGGACTAAGTCCCCACACATGTACTGCAGGATGATTTCACAGTTGGAATTCGGGTCCGAACAGCTGTGCTGGTTAGTCCTACATGAACATGTATACAAATGTAGAAACATTTTTTCCCTGAAGAAATATGCATCCGTTTAAAATAAACACGTGAAATTTTACATTGTACCGGTATATAGGCCTACATGTACGCAAGTAAAAGGTTTTTGTTTTCACATCTACGTACATTATTGTAATTTTGGAAATGATTATCATATCAATGACTTTTTTATTTCCAAAAAAAACCACAAACCATTATTGTTAATTTTGAGCTCGGCAATTTTGCCGCAAAAAAACCCAACATGTGCATGTACCGGTAGGTCAAAGATACCATACACAGACAATTTTTTTCAGCCCAGATGGAAAAGCCTTCAATATTCATTTAGATTTACTGTTTTTTTTTTCTCGGTTTCTTTTTAATCTAATAACGTGATTTAGTTTTCATCAATTGGTCACACGAGTGCCGAAAGAATCAAATCACAGCCACAATAATGTACTTTTATGCATTGGTAGAAACAGCACTTGGCATTCATTTCTGATATCCAGTCACTTAAGTCCTTAAAATCCTATTTTAACCATTGGAAGTGTGCGAAGAAAAACAAATTAATTTAATCAGGGGTGTGAGTGACCACTGATAAAAATAGCTGAAAACAGCTGAAAAAGGTGTAAAAAAGCTGAACTTTGGAAATCTCCTATACTTTTGTACACAGTGAGGGAAAGAGCTGAAAAAGAACTGAAATCCAATACAAAAAACAGCTGAAATCAGCTTTAAAGCTGAGATTTCACACCCCTGTTTAATTGTCTCACAATTTTGCAACTGAATTGAAATAAATGAAACCATCAAAGGTGGTGCAATCCCCTGAACATGCTGAAAATCCTTAAAAAGATTCAAGGTTTTTACTATACTGTTTCTCTTATGTGAATATGCACACTATGTTACTGTACAAGTATGATACTTCAAGTTAATGGGCGTTTCAGTCAATTGTATTCATCAAATTATCTATCCAACAAACACAGCAATAATTGGGAAATGTCCAACTTTTTGTACGTGCTGCTGTGCATACCATTCAATTTGCAGCACTGATCCAGCCATGTATGCCAGACTGCCAACATTGTAGCCACCACGGTTGTTATTCTGGGAGTCAAATAACCTGAAGGAAGAATCACAAAGTTGTGTTTAGGCAATTATTGATAGATCTTTTTTTCTTACTTTCATGTGTAGGCCCTAACTACGTACCATTAGGAATTTGAATGCTCCCCCCCCTCCAAAAAAAACCTCAAAGAAACAAACGAAATAACAAAACACACAACAAAACCACCAAACCCTCATCCCCCCAAAAAGCCCAACTATGTGAGAAATTTCCGGCACAATTTGTTCTCAGCAGTAACAACCTGCCCCCCCTCCCCCCACAACCACACACAACTTGCAAACAAAGAGTTCCAAGTTTCTGAAGCCTATTCATTTACTGACATCATGAACAGGTTTTTTTTTTATATATAAATTATACAATTTATACACATTTATTTCATGATTGAGAATTTGATATTTTGATTATTATTAAAGGGAATGTACAACATTGGCTTTTCCTGCATTTGGAGGATTTATTTGTAGCAAATATTGTTAAACTGACTTGTTTCACGTTTTTGGATTGTAGATGCTGGAAAAACCAAGAAAACCAATTATATTCTTGTAGTTTGGTTCCCTGACCCCACTTAAGATGAAATGGAGCAATTTATAGACTTTGGGGAATTGTACGGTCAGAGTATCAATTTAGCTGGCTTGTACCCGTTCATCACAGGTGAGTAATCAATCGCAAAGAAAATGCAGAATAACTAAATATAAGAAATATGGAGTAGTTTTTGAAAATAGCCGGTTTCCTCCAGCGCTTGTCGGCCGACCAGCGTTGGAAAAATGTCAGCACACCAGGAGCCACAATTTTACAGGATGCTTTAGACTTTCATTCCCTAACAATCCAGTAAGGTATTTCGTGATATTGATCATTTCGTTTTTTGATATTGTATGCAAATGTTGTATCTTCCCTTTAATGACATGTAATTGGCTATTTACGATTGAAAATATATCTAATATTAAATTGGACGATTAATTATGAAAAGTACTTGTGAGGATTCACAATGCTGACCTATTTCCATTGTTTCGCTCCCTTTTCGCCTCATCAAGCCGATTGTTGCTGCCCCTGAAGTGGGAATTAAGAAAACACAGTTTACGAAAGTGTTTGAAATTGAATGGAAAAGTTAATTGTATTTTTTAATGTAAAGAATCAATTATTCATTGGTCAAGTTATTCATTTATTATGAACAAATATAAATAATAACTGTCACTGATTGATACACACTTGAAGTTGAGTTATATTAAAAACAGTCGTAAAGAATGTTTTTGGCTCATTTATTTACGAACACTTAGCAAACGTTAAAGATATAGTCCATCAATTGTAATTTGTGCATTTTGTTCGTTTGAAGCAACAAAAGTGCTCAAGATCTAAAGAAGGGTGCTGAACAACTAACCTGAAGAAGTTTCAGCTCAGCTTCAGCTGTATATTTCGAGAAAAACAACATTCTAGGATCTCGATTTCAAATCAAAAGTTGCTGAATCATGTTTTGAATTGAGCCTGAATTCAGCGTCCGAGACACGTTCTCACTGAGCCGATTGCAGCTACGCGATGTCGCGCACTGATCCGACGAATTATAGCAACTGCGCGCGCGTGTGCGTCGTGCCAATGCTTGCACGCGCTTCGCCGAATAACAAAACGAACTACTAATTTGAATTTCCTACAGTGCTTCTTAAGAAGCGCTGTTGGAAATGCCAGTTTTGTTGATTTCTTCAAAATGACAGCTTGCCAGAAAGAATAATTTCACAGGGAGTTTAGTCCCCTTACTATCTTTCAACCTGGTATTTTTTTCAACAATAATTACGCCAGATACTTTTTGGATAGCTGCAAATGATGGACTCTGGCTTTAATATTTGTGAAGGAAAGAATCGATGTTTTAACTCATAGGTACGTCTTGACTAGGCCCCCATACTTTGCAATCAACACTGTCATGACTGTCGGCCGCGGGTCGCCGTATATTACTACGTTACCTCGGGTTGTGCAGATACATGTCACAATACACTCCCATCACACACAGCAAAAGCGGTATCAACACCACCAGCTTCATTTTCAACGTATTCTACAGGATACAAGACACGAATAAAGTTATTGTTCGTCTTCCTCCTCTTGATGAAAACGGAGATTTTGATCGCGATCCAGCGCGATATCAGAAAACTTCTTCACGCAGGTGTTATGTCAATGTCTGACGGTGACCTGTGACCTTGCGTACACTGCGCGCATGCTAATGAGCAAAGTATGAGCTATCATGAGAAGTCCTCCGCCATATAGTGCCAATGAAAAAAGAACACCCCGCAAATTCAACAACTAAATAGTAGAAATACTCTTTAAAACCTTATTTGTAGACCTACATATTCAAAGTGTTGATTTTGCAGGGACCAATTATTCAACTCAGTAAGTCATAATAAGTGCATGAACGAGAATTTTAGCCCACTGCGGATTAATATTGAGTTGTCATGAATTATGTATTTTGTCACGTAATGAACTATTTGAGGAAATAGTGAGTCAGCTCCCTGCATGATGAACTGGGCGGGTAATATAATTTAATACCTTCGAACAACATTCGGAGGTTCCAGTTAATTGTGTGCAAACGCAACCCAAAATTGAAGACGCTCCCGTGAGAGTTTCTGTTTTGTCAAAATAAACCCTACTATATAGGACCTCTTAACCCTAAAGGGGCCGGGGCAGACTCCCCCCGCCCCGCCCCGCCCCCTCAACTTTTTCCGCGATAGCCCTGAATTTTCGTTTTTCGCGACCCATGGGCTGTTCTGACTTTTTAGCCTCGAGTCTTGCGCATCTTTTGATACCAAAAACATAAAAATCGGAAAAATTTTCCGGCGAACTGAAGGCTCTATGTACGTAGTGTACACAGAGCAGAATTACCATTCGTGCATTAATTCGTGCCATAATTCCAAAACCTTTTTACCTATAATTTACATGAAATTTCTTGGGTATGTTCATGAATCGATAAGATTTTCTATGCATGTACTGATGGCAAATCTTTCGTCAACGCGATGGCCGAGATCTTAGGGGGAATCCCCCCCCCCCCCCGGCTGAGAGATGGTCAAAATAACCCGGCCCTTTTGGGGTTAAGAGCCCCGAAATTCAGCAGATGCTCTATCAGTGGTGCGATCTGAGGCAATTCCTGACTCCTTAACCAATTATTTTGAGCAAACGATCATCATTTAAACATCATTTTCGAATTCGGAGTAGGCCTAATTGAATAAGCTATTCTGAGCTATATAGAATCATATAGGTTACAATTTTCATTCGGGGACAAAAAATGGGGGAGGGGGACAAACGATATCGGACATCCCTCGTCCCCATTGACGCCAAACTAATGGACAAATGACTGACTATGCATTGTTGCAAAAATACAAAATAAACTGAACAAAATAACTAAAAGAAAGCCTATTAAACATTGAAGAAAACCCTCACCCCAAATGAACTTTATAAATTATTTTGAATTGGCCATAAATCAATAATTAAGATTTACATGTGATTGCTGATTGGAGCCATGGGCGTCAATCCTGGGGCATGTCCCCCCCCCTTTTTTGAAGGATGGGGGACACAATGTCCCCCCCCCCCCGAACTCGCGTCTCATTTACAGGGCCCTATTATGTACTACAATGTATCTTTTGCTAAGAAAATATTGGTTAAAGTGGTCAGAAATTGCCTCAGATCGCACCACAGAGAATTTAGAATCCAGCCTTCAGCTGAGAATATAATAGCTTATCCAATGACTTCAACCTCGAAAATGATGTTTAAATTATTATCTTTTGCTAAGCAAAATGGTTAAAGCATGGATGAAAGTGATCAGAAATTGCCTTAGATCCGATCCACAGAGCATCTACAATCCATTTTTTTTCGGGGCCCGCTTGAACCCAACGCCGTAAGGGCTTCGCGCTTCGCCCCCCCCCCCCACTTTTGAGAAGCGATTGACGCCCCTGATTGGAACTTAAAAGTTGCGTTGTTGAAAAGCCTACGATGTATATATAGCTTTGCGACTCGGATGTATAAAAGTTTTGAAAAAAAGAGGACGCTTTGATGAGGGTTCGGATTTGTTTTATGACACCCCTGTATCATTTCCCCTTGAAAATCTTGATGTCTTTCGGTGACGATGATTCAGGTTTATTTTGACCAAACCCGGTACGTGCTCCCTCAGTTTCCTTTCATCAGTTTCCTGTAATTTAAGTTGAAAGCGTCAACAGCACGGACGGCATGCCGGAAAATGTGAACCACATCCAGAGGATTTGGTGTTAGTGCGGGAACGTATTGATGATTCGCCTTACTAAAGTTAGGGTTCATGACCACAGTGCCTCCTGTAGGCCGCCGAGTCCTTGAACTCCTTTAAAACCAACTGGCTTTGGTTATTTGAATCATATCATTTTTCTTTCTTGAATTTATCGCTAATAATGTTCTGAAAAAAAGTTCCGAATCCCCGTTTCCCGTGCTACTTCGAGTTTCACATTGCCTCGGTTTTTTTTATTGTTCTTTTAAGCAATATAAAAGTTTTTCAATTTTGAATAAGACATAGAGTAAAAAAATCCACGCACGGCTTATTTATTGAATTATTTCTAGTTTCCATTTGTTATTAAATTCCTTTTTCAGAGAGTTGCAGAAGCTCTTAATCGGAAAAAAAAGTTTTCGTTAAAACAAAACAAAACAAACAAATAGAAAATTTGGTTTTCCATATTTTTTTTTAAGAGTACGGGGTATCAACTTTTAAATAGCCGAGTCATGCGAAAACTTTGAACCAGCCATACTTAATTACAAGCGGATTATTGTTTTGAGCTTAATTACAACTTCACTAATGCTATAAACTTACGTCAATTTGGTTTTTTTTTTGGGGGGGGGGTGTTTTGTAACTGTGTACGGCCAGAGACATTGGGCTATAATAGACCATGACTAAAATACTTCATATAATTGTTGTTGTAAATGATGTCATTGTTTCCAAAAATAAAATCAGAAAACACTTATTCTGAACAGTGCGTCATCGACATCTCTGACAATAATGATGTTTGAACCAATCAGTCCTTATTTGGAATATGTACTATTTCAATGACACTGAGTTTTGAGATCATGCATATTCATCAACTGGAACTACTTTTTTGGTTGACCTTCCGGCTTGCGCTGAACAGTTACATATTGCCGAAAGCACTGGAGCATATCACTCATGCATCGGCAACCACCACCTGCAGCTACGCTAGCGCTGCTTGCTTGCGCTTGTGAACAGTTTTGGTACGGTACAGGTTTTTGACGATCGTACACAACCTCCATGGTATGCATCTGTTGAGTGAAGAGTAACTACATACATTTGTAAGCATTACTTCAATACTTGGTAAGTATATTCTCAGCACATAATGTGGTTTTAACATGGAAGGATAAAACACAAGTTAAGTAGGCCTAGGCCTAATTGTTAAAATGACTCGACCCTCCATTCATCTGAAGGTGAGTGCGTAGAAAAAGGACTGCGTAGCTGGTAGGGGGGGGGGGGGGAGGGTCTGTGAGTGTGATGACGGCTCGCGTGACCATTTTTTTCGCGTATGAATGTATTTGCCAAATCTTCTGAGCGTTTTAGAGCTGGTTTTCTAAATGTAATTATTACTCATGCAATGGAATTTCGGCAAAAACTAGTCTGAGTAAAAAAAAATTAAAAATGAGGCAGCCTCCAAACTTTTAAATATCCCTAGTTTTAATTAATAATATAACCATGGAGCTATAAAAAGGATCCCTTTTTATAGCTCCTTTTTATAGCTCCATGATACACATGTATAACGTGGCACACTTCGACATTACCCGGACTTTCCACATGCATGACATGCAGTGTTGCCAAACTTTTTTGTTGCCAAACTTAAATTCATTCAGTGAAATTCTGGTCATTGCTTCACTGTGCACTTCGAAATAAAATCGGAAAATCACGCCGAAATAAATGTTTCTACTAACGTAACGGAAAGATAAAGTCGTGATTTAAAAACTGAAGTGTTTAGAGCTTGATGAAATGTTTCTTTTTGTGGGGGGGGGGGGGGGGGGGGGGGCAATGGGGGACGAGTGAACTCCACAACAATCATATACGTTTTTAATTGTATTTGTTAACTCACTGGGTTTTTGTTCTTCAAATTTAAGCAACAAGTACATTTAGCAAGGGGAAGACAGCAGTACATCTTCAAGTACAGATTTACACCACTGCAATCATGATGCGCTGTGTAGCAGTGCTCCTGCTGGCAGCGTGTGTCAGCGTTCAGGCAGACACCTACATGCACAACCCTAGAGGCTCCAACAACAGACTGAATGAGAGGTCGGCAAATCGCAACAATGGCAACAGAATGTTTGACTCGCAGGTAAGTGAGAGATGGAGATCAAATCAGCAATAAGGAGAAACCTGTACATGTACTGTGAAATGTGAGATCTTTGGAAGGTTCAATCCAGGAGTGGGCTCATGATCAGGGGCTGTTAACCCGAACCCTCCTCAATCCTCCAAAATGGATGATTTTAGAGGATTGAGGATGAATAGGAAAGATGTAGGGCCTATCGCTTTTTGTGTGTGTGGAGGATGCATTACGTCAAGACAGTGGGCCACATCCTGCATTGGTTATGTTCAGCCATGCATAAATCAGCCCTGTGTTTTTCATCGTACATTTCATCCACACTGCTTTTGAAATGCCATTCGCACTGCCTAAAACCACAGCAGTAATTGGCAGAGGATTTTGGAGGACTGAGGCACTTGGTCGCCCTCCACTGACTAAATTCAAGAAAGAACAGATGATTTTGGAGGATTGAGGCTGAATCCATTGTTTTCTTGGTGGTAATTGGAGGATTTTGCAGGATTGAGGTTGCATCCTAGCCAGAGGGCCTGTTGCATGACTACATGTAGCTCCTCTGATGAGGCCCTCTCCAACCCTGGTTAGACTGAAACCTTGAGGGCAGAAAAACGAAAACAAAACCTGGCCAAGTTTACTCCCCCTTTACCTGACAAAATTCTCCGAAATTTTCTGGAGGCAAAGACAAAGTCCTCCGTATTTCACCAGCGAATTTTGAGATCTCATATCAGATTTTAAAGGAGACTTTTCTTCAACGATTTGCACTTGAGAGGGGGCCGTATCATAAGTCCGACGCCTCATAGGTCCGACGCCTCATAGGTCCGACGCCTCATAAGTCCGCAATTTCGGACTTATGAGGTGTCGGACTTATGAGGCATTTATTCCGCCTCATAGGTCGACGCCTCAAAAGTCCGACGCCTCATAAGTCCGACAACGGAAAAACGAGGCGTTTAATTTGTCAGACTTACAAAGCGTCGGAGCTATGAGGCGTCGGAGCTATGAGGCGTCGGAGCTATGAGGCGTCGGACCTATGAGGCGTCGGACTTATGAGGCGTTGGACCTATGAGGCATCGGACTTATGAGCCTTTATTTGGTTAGGGGATGAGATTCTGTCGGACCTATGAGGCGTCGGACCTATGAGGCGTCGGACTTATGAGCGGACCCCCTTGAAATTGAAGCGAAGTGATTACAATTTGAAGCCTAAGACTTGACTGGTACATGTACATATGTACATGTCCAAAGTTTTGAAAAGATTGACCAATCAGAATGTTCAAAGATGGATGCTGGGTACCAGATGTAGCTTTTAACATGTAGTTGATTGATACTGTAAGCCCTTCTAAAGGGGTGTTAAGCCCGGTTCATACACTTAATTCGTAAAAGTTGAACATACATGTATTTCAACTCTGACGAATTTCGCAGCGAATTTTTCACAACGTCAAAATTCTCTTCGCATTCGCATGAAGTATGAACCGGGCTTTAGACGGTGCCAGTCTATTTTCTTGTTTTGCAATTGTTTTCAATACTTTTGAGTTTTGGGACTCTCATACACAGTATTGAGAGTCCCAAATTTCCTCCATCCCCAAAACCCCGAAGCACCACAACCCCAACCCCCTCAGAGGGCCAAGGCGTTATGAGCTTCATTCTTGATCCAACTTTGCAAAGAAGAATCGGTGACTAGTGATGAGGTCTTCCTTTATTATTTTCCATGGTTCTCATATTTTTTTTTACCTCTTAAGTGGGGTCAGTTGGTCAACAAACAAATCCAAAGAAAAACAAATTGCATTGCACCTTTATACATTATAGATGGCTAATCAAATCATGCCAAGTGCGTTTGTCTCCATTTTTATTGCAATGAGTTTATCAAGAGTTGATACAATGTACCGGTACATAATAAAACCATATTCGGCAAGATGTCGTTGTCATCTCATCTCATCTTCTGGTATCCCACTGGTTGCTAAAAGCTGTACTGCGCATACTCATCTTAAATTCATTTTCAGAGCCGGGTTGCCTGAATTTTGTATTCATTTTTTCCCCTGGCTTGAACACAAATTACCCTAGCACTTTGCAGTATAAGGAAAGTTCTAAAGGTCTGTCAATAGACCGCTTGCAGACGCGTTCGATAATCGACGCGCGAAGGCGCGCGACGCCATGTTGTGGGTCAAGCGCATATCTATCCATGCACATTTTGTCCCACAACATGGCGTCGCGCACCTTCGCGCGTAAATTATCGAACGCGTCTGCAAGCGGTCTATTACCACTGATTCCTAGTTACCATCATCTACAGAATATACTGTACCGGTACTTGTAGCTAACAAGCATGACAAGGAAGTACTAAGTTTCAAATGTGCACACCTGGATTGCCAGTATGCTGTTCTGTTGTATTTCCTGCTGGGAGGATTACTGGTCATTTTAACGAAATAATCAGAACCATTGACAGTGGCTTGAGAGGAGGAAATCTGGGTATTGTTCCAAATCAAAAAGATAATCTCCGGGAAATGTGACATGTTTTTTCCTATCAACATGTAGATTGGATGTACAGTGTACATGTGTACGTAATACAGACTAGTAAACAAATCAAGGAAATGGCCATGTACTGTGAGATTTTGCTGATGTAACTTTATACATGTACGTTTGTTATACAATAAATTATCAGATGAAAAACGTGCAAATTTTCTTAAATAATCATAAAACAAACTGTACATGCTACATCATGTAAATGTGCCATCATGTGTTGTGAAAATTTTGTGATGGTGCCAGTACATTGTGTACATTCTAGGCCAATTTTGGGAGGCTGGGGTTACCTACTGTTACATGTATAGGCCTACATTTTACCGGTATTTACAACAAATAATAATTTGCTTTAAAATGTACAGTACAACAAACAGCATCAACAAACATTTTATTACCGGCACCTCAATAGAAATCCTCCATGCATGACGTGTGTGGGTGTCTCCAATCACAATATATTCAAAAGCCTATACAATGAGCACAAAACAATGCATCTACTGATCATTCTGAATAAAGCGTGTGAATTCGTTAGGCATGCAATAACAAATGTTCAATCAGTTTTAATTAATAGAACTTTACATGTAACATACACTGCCTCATGGAACAAATGACAAAAGGTCATTCCACTGATATTACTGACTGCCTCACACAGAAAATTGAATTCCATGTTTGAAAAATGCAATTCTTTACACACTCGTACAGATATGGCTTGAAACTTCTGGCTAAAAACACGGAAGTGTACATAGTAAAATTGAAAATTTTTAGAAATAAGCAACCATTGTCCTTCGCCCTTCACCAGCTTAACTTTCAGTTTACATGTACATGTATGTACTCATTTTTGTTTGTTCAATAGCTAGGGCTGTGTCAAATGCCGAACATTTGTTGAAAAGCAACTTAACACATACTGGTATGAATGAGTTCTTGTACTGTTAAATATTTGCTTAAAAATCATTCTGCTACCAGAAAAAAATGTCCATAAATAATGCTCTTTATCACTGTTTATATTTCATTGTATTTTAATACTCTACATGTACATGTATGTATGTATGTGAATTTTCAACTTGTGCAGGCATACTCAAATCGGATGGATGACAAGCTTTGACTTGCGCATGTAAAACTTCCATCAAGTCAAAATTAGAATTTATCATCAAATACTAAATTATTTTTAAAAAAATGTACAGCGCAGTCGATAAAGAGCACATTTAAAAAAAAAACTCAAAAATTTAACTGGTTTTGATAATTTATTTTCCCGTCTTTCTTTTTCTCCATGTCCTTTTGTTAGAACAACAACAGAGGTGGTTACAATGTGGGTGATTCAACGGACCAAGCATCCGGGAATGAGGCCCAACAGTATAGAATGGTAAGCAGGCATTAGTGCAGTGCGTGAAATTACTCCCCTGCAATTGCTGCATTGTATATTAACCTAAAGTCTAACATTACATAACCTTGGTCAGGATATACCTGCAGATAACTTTAGTCACAAAAAAGATTAGGACCTTTTTCCAACTGGTTCCCACAGTATGATTCTCTTGTGGCTGTATACACGTACACATTGTTATCGGTTTTTGACAGTTGTCCTAGTATAGACCTACATGTACACTGTACACTGTACATCTGTACATATACATTGTACATGTGCATGTATGTATACATGTACAGCCAAACTGTGTTCTAATGTACTGACATGTCAGCTTTAAAAAAAATAAATTAAAAAGACTATTTTTAAGTCAAATTTGTAAAATTAAACCATGGTCATTCCGTGCCAATTCAACGGGCCATGGCACCATATGTCACAGATTTTGTTCAATCTCAAGACATGGGCCCTTAACCCTAACTCCCTAGGCCTTTTTGCTAGGATGTAGCCTCAATCCTGCAAAATCCTCCAATTGGCCTCATGGAAAAATAGCATATAGCCTCAATCCTGCAAATTCCTCCGTTATTTCTTGAATATGGTCCATGGAGGGATGACCACTGCCTGAATCCTGCAAAATCCTCCGGCTATGTCTGTCAATAGGTTGAGGCAGAGGTAGTGACATTCTGGAGCAGTGCAGGATGTCAAGTATAATCAAGGACTAAATTTATGCACGGCTGAGCATAAAAAACACAAGGTCCGGCCCAAGACCTTGACACAGTGCGTACTCCGAAATCAGCAACGCACTTTTGCCATGTAACCCCAATCCTGCAAATTCCTCCAATTTGCAAAAAGGATTTTGGAGGATTCAGGGCGGTTAGGGTTAAAGTCAGCGATATTCTATGGGCCAGTCAGTTTCCCCTTTTTTGGCAAAGTTCATTGAACTTTGTGCTACCGTAACACCTCAACAGAAAGCAATATGAATTTTTGCTTTCGACCTCATCTATAGAACTACTAACAGCACTCCACCAAGTTTGAACAAAATCTGTGACGTGTGGTGCCGTGGCCCGTTGAATAAGCACGGAATGACCCACCAGTTTATTTATACACGTGTGTAAAATGAGGATCAATTAATTAATTGGCAATAGACTAATCCGGCTACGGCCCTTTTCATGGACTTGCTCACAGTGACCAAAAATGTTGTGATCAGTTGACCATTGTGCAGTGAGGCATGGGGGAAATTAAATGACACTCAAACATACATTTTTATATCATAATGGTTTTGTTGTTATTTCACAAATATTTAGACAGACACTTTTTCGAGACGTACCGGTATACTGTATATTGAAGGAAAAAGAATGATTTTTTGGTTGGTTTCCAACCTGTAAACTGGTCCGTGGATATACATGTATATGTACACCATCTTTGTGGTCACATGATTATCTCAGGGAGCGCTTCATTGAAAATACATGTTGAGGATATGATATGGCATGAGGAGACGTACATGTACATTGTATTTTATGTAAAATGCCAAGTTTTTATATTACTCAACCATGGTAGCTGCCATGCTAATGTACATGCACATTTCACCCTGACCTCCCCAGAAATATTTTGAAAGCGGCCCCTACAAGACCATGGTGGCTGACGGTCAGCTGACGGGCCAGGGCCAGAGCCTGATGACCATTGAATGGACCAATCAGCACGGCTGTGGGGGCGATGAGGACACAGACCCACACAAGCTCAACTGCAACATTGTCCTGCAGTACATGTGCCAAGAGGATAGCGTAACAGGTAGTGTATGATGACTCAATTAAAGCCCAGAGTCCATCATTTGCAGCTATCCAAAAAGTAACTGGCGTAATTATTGTTGAAAAATATACTTGGTTGAAAGATAGTTAGGGGACTAAACTCCCTGTGAAATTATTCTTTCTGGCATGCTGTCATTTTGAAGAAATCAACAAAAGAAGGCCTTTCCAACGGTGCTTCTTAAGAAGCACCGTAGGAAATTCAAATTAGTTGTTCTTTTTGTTATTTGGCGAAGCGCGCAAGCATTGGCACGACGCACTCGTCGGCTCAGTGAAAATGTCTCGGATGCTGAATTCAGGCCCAATTCAAATCATGATTCAGCGACTTTTGATTTGAAATCGAGATCCCGAAAGTTGTTTTTCTCGAAATATACAGCTAAAGCTGAGCTGAAACTTCATCAGGTTAGTTGTTCAGCACCCTTCTTTAGTTTTTGAGCACTTTTGTTGCTTCAAACGAACAGAATGCACAAATTACAAATGATGGACTATACCATTAACCCAACCCCCATCAGGTGAAATGAGGAATATCCACTTGTAAAGCAAGTAGTGCCATGATGCAGATTCGTCGACAAATTATGCAAAACAAGACTGTGTCTTTACTTCCAGTTTCTGACCATTCAGCGGGCGCCTTCTATCGGGGGTTCGGTAACCCGCTGTTGATTTACTAAAACATGTCAGCCATTTGACCAGTCAACAGCTTAAGTAAATTTTCTGCTCGAAATGACGTCACACAATTTCTGGACTGAGACATCCAGCCTGGTCCACACTGCACGTGGGTATCAACAAATGCACCTTTCATGTGCTCCTTGCAAGATCCGTGCATGTTCTGTACATCATGCTTTTGCTTTTGTGCCAAATTTTGCACAGTGGTTAATGAATCAATCTGTTTTGCGTAGTTGGGCTTTGTCATTGCTATGTGTTTTGGTTTTCTTCCCAATGCTGTTTAGGTGACGACGCAATTCGTAATGGGCGGACCACCCAAACACAGAACCACAACCGCATCAACAACCTCAACGAAAACCAGAACACCGCTAATAATCGCAAGAACAATGCTGTAAGGGACGATCGCGGTCTGCATGAGATGTGGGACTGGTACGACAAGTGCTATAACAGGGAGCGTAATATGGGTAAGCAAGGGCCACAATTTTTGGAACAAAGAGTGCTATTGACAAAATCGTGTTTCGTGATCAAAATGTTGTGCATTTTTTTTTACCATTTTCTCGAAATTTGTAATATTCACCGAGATGAATTTTCAATGCCGTGAACATGCTTCTTTGGATTTTGAGTGGTTTTATTATTGGAAATGAACGAAATGCATGCAAAGCAAATGATTCTGTATGCTTTTAAAGGGAATGTACATTTGCTTTTGCTGCAAATTTTTTTAAATAAATGGATTTGGAATATTATAGCAAATATTGTTCAACTGACTTGTTTCACGTTTTTGGGCTTGTAGATGCTGAAAAAAAACCACAATCATGTTCTTGTAGGCTGGTTCCATGACCCCACTTAAGATGAAATGATGAAATGGAACAATTGATAGACTTTGGGGAATTGTAAGGTCAGAGAATTCCTCTGGCAGGCTTGTAACCCTTCACAGGTGTGTAATCAATTGCAAATAAAATGTGGAATAACTAAATATGAAAAATTTGGAGCAGTTTTTGAAAAATAAGCCAGTTTTTTTCCAACGCTGGTTGACTGACCAGCGTTGGTAACATTTCAGCACACCATGAGCCATGATTTTACAGGAAGCTTTAGACTGTCATTCCCTATTGCAGTAAGGTATTTCATGATAATTTGATCATTTCGTATGTTGATGTTTGCAAATGTTGTATCTTCCCTTTAAGAATCTTTCAAGAAACTACAGAATGGCAGTAACCATAAGAACAATCATCAGTTGTACATATTATCATAATTACGTCTCAACTAAGCACGTACATGTACTGAACTAAATCAGTATTTTGATATTTGTGACCTGTTCTGTCAAAAGCAGACGCTTTTGGGCAGAGGTTGAACTTAAGATAGGGCCAAAAAACGCTGTGGGGGTGATTTTTTTCGATTTTCTAATTTTTGCATATTTGTAATCTTGAACATGTCTAAAATATACAATAAAAGTTTGAAACCCTAATTCGAACTCTAAATATAGTATTTTTGATGATTCGTTAAGGTATATCAGTTAAAGAAACGTCACTTGAAACAGGTCTTAAAATAGACCCCAAACTTTAACTGCCATTTTCTCTGTTTTTTTACTTTTCGACACAATGAACTTCAAAATAGCACTTTGTTAATATTTTAATAATATACAGAAATCTTATTTTTCACCTTATGCCCAGAAAAGTCTGATTTTGACAGAACAGGCCACATTTTGCAGCCAATGCTTAACTGACATCTGCTGTTCTAATTATCAGGGCTGTTCACGGCCGACCAGAAACTGAAAACCAATAACGGCAACGGCTACAGCTCAGCTATCTACACCCGCCAGAACCCCAACGGCAACCGACGTGGCTACGAGTGCCCGGAGGAGAGGGACTATTACCCTTACTGGCACCCCTCCCCCTGGAAGGACATGGCCATCCTCGTCAGTAATCAGAGTCTGTGCGAGTAAGTTGTAATCACGCAAGCATCGTAATTACGATTTGTTGTTTCAATCCAAGTGCATAAACTGACATAAAATGTCACGCACACTGATGACTTCCCCATCCTTTGCATATTATATTGGTTATGTAAATGTTCAGGTATGCATTCACATTGTTTGGAACATCCAATGTGAATAAAACCTGAAGGTGTAATGGACACAAGAATGTGAATCTGATTAAGTAAATTTGTAGAAAAGGTTTACTTGGTGTATACTTCCCTACTCTAGGCTCATACTTGGTGCAAAAGTGAAAGTGCATATTCACACTGCAAATTTGCGAAAGTTCAACACATTTCAACTCCTGCAAATTTCGCAGTGATGTTTTATGACGTCAAATTCACTTTCATTCACATTGGCTTACAAAATCTGTTTGATTTGCACAGTCTCAAGGCTAAACCCAGCTCCTGCCTGGATTTTTGTTTTAATCTGAATAGGTTCTACCAGTCGGAGAGCTTCAATGTCAAACAGAAGTACGAGTGCGTAGAAACTTACGGCGCTGGAAACACTGGAACCGCCAAGCACTGGTCTCGATGGAACAATGAAGCAGAGTGCACTGAGAATGGTGGCCAGTGGCTGGCCTTCACAAACTACCTGGAGAAAGCCCCTCGTATGTATCTCCATTCAGCTTGACCAAGTACCCAAAATGGCTCATTTGTTTACGCCAGCTAGTCTGTGTGCACAGTGTGTCGGCTTGTGGTCTTTCTAATTTACAAAGCCTGCATCTCTGTTAGGCAGCAGTATACAAATATAACATGGTTTGAGGGTGGACAGTCGATATTCGCTCCCCGAGGTATTGGAAGTTGACAAACTAGTTCCCGAGGCGAAGCCGAGGGAACTAGTTTGTCAACTTCCCATACCGAGGGGAGCTAATATCAACTGTCCACCCGAAATAAACCATGTTATATTTGTTTTACTATACCTCATACATATTTTCAGTTGCCGAATTTTGTTTTATTATTATGCACCTAAAACAAAATTTGGGGAAACTTGTACAGCTCACCAAAAGATTCAACTTCAATTACTAGTTCGGTTCGTTTGCAATATAATACAGTTACTACAGTTGTAAATACAGTTGTTTGCAATGTGTACAACTTTCTTTTGTACAGGAGACATCTTTACACGGTCTATACATTTTCTCCAGTACGGCATCATTGAGCTCTGTAAATTAACATTTACGCGAACCGTGCAACCATGCATCTCTCCTGTGCGATGTTCGCGCGTGCGTACTGCACCCAAGCGACAGTTCCTCGATTGCTCTGTAAAGCGTATGCGTAGTAGACTGTCGCACGGGTAACCCATGCGACAGTCTACTACGCATGCGTATTTACAATGTGCGTGAATCCTCGCGCGCGCGTTTGGTAAACAGCAAGAATAATATCTGGCACGTGATGGTGAATTGACCAGTGAACGTTCGGCTCTCGATCATGAATATGTATGAGGTATAGTAATAGTTTCTGTAGGGTTAAGGTATAAATCAATTGAAACGTCTCGGGTCTGAGTGATGGTGTTCCCAATACTGATTAATGATTCACCTTGTTGATAGCGTCATTTATGACACTGCAAGCATTTGTGTACATGACCAACTGGCACTCCATACCTCAAATTGTACGTAGGTACTTGTTGATAGCGTCTTTTATGAAACTGCACGCATTTTTGTACATGACCAACTGGCACTCCATACCTCAAATTGTACGTAGGTACATCTGGCGCAGTCTGAAACGCTTGTTGAAATGGTAACGCTATGAATAAACTCCCCTATTAGAACAATCTGAAAATACTCTCTTACATGTAGCTGGTACCATTATGGCAGATGTATGGGCAGCAAAGCATACATGCCAGCTTGTTCAAAACCCCTGTATCTGCTACATGCATGCTCTTTGTGAGGTTTCCTTGTCGTCTAAAGTCACCTATGGTAAGCAATGGGGTTAACTCTTTCAGTGCCTGCAAAATTTGAAAAGTTTAACCCTAAAGTGCCCAACTTCGAGTGTTTTTTTTTTAATTGTTCAAAATTCTGTAAAAAAAAAAGTAAATAAGTTTTACTCACTAAATTTGTTGTTGTTGCTCCCTGGTATATCCTTGGTACATTGGAAAGTCAATAGTAGTCACGTACGTAGTGATACACCCTGAAACACTGTCCTGCACATAGGGGAATTCCCCACATTTTGCAGAAAATACTAGTGTCAGTGCTGCGCCCTCTCGCAAGAACTCGAATGAAACAAATAATTACAGGTCGTACCTGAATGAAAATGATATTATTAGAAAGAGCTAGAGCGCCCCCTTGTGATAACATGCTTATTCTACCTCGTACATGTACAAGGTTTTGCGATTTATAAGTACGAACATTACCTCGTACATGTACGAGGTCGGCAATTTCGAAGTAACAAATATACTCGGTACATGTACGACTTTGGCACTGAAAGAGTTAAAGGTTACATACAACATTCAAATCTGGTCTTGGTATGAGACTGATAATTAGTTATCTGTCACCCCTGTTTGCTGGTTGGATACATTTATGCAGAGCTCACCACCCAGGCAGCCTGTGAAGCGAATTCGGGCACCAACGGGATGCGGTACGTGTGGGGCCGGCCCGAGGGCGAGACAGCCGAACAATGCCTGGTGGCGCTGGATCCCCCAGACTGCCAGCCAGCACCCTGGACACGGGTCAACCACCTGGGGAACACCAGAGGCGGGCAGGCCAGCCGCTACGAGTGGACCATGCCGTACTTCCCATCGGACAACACCCAGCGCTGCGTGATGCGTCTCAGGTACAGTATTGTGGGGTTGGAGATGGGGGGATGGGGGGGGGATGGGGGGGGGGGGGGGGGGCGGGGGGGGGGGGTGCTGAAATCGGTACGTCTACACGTATAGAGATGAGAAAGGATACCTTGTGCATTATGTTTCTTTGTCAGGGGTTTGCATTTCTGTGTCTGTTGAATGTATTTTGCAAAGGATCCCAGGGGAATCATCACACCAACTTGTGTCGTCTTGTGTGGGACTCGGCAGTTTATAACACCCATTCTGTAATTTTTTTGATTCTGGATGCCTTCTGCGGTCGTCCTCCAAGAGTGCTGGAAAATGACCTACCCAACAAATAAAAATCAGTTTGAAATTGGTTTTATTGACACTGTAATGGCAAACTACAAACTGCAGAGGTAACGGGGAAAAACAAAAATAATGTCACACTTTGGACCCTAAATTTAAGTGTGATTATATATTTATCTTTACTAAATGGTCTTACTAAATAGGTCAGGGAAAGTGCTAGAATTCTCTAATGCAAAATGCAAAATTGATGGAACATTTTCAATAAAATGCCAGTAATATTTTAGTGTATCTTGTATTTTGCAGATACAATATCACCACTGATGACTACGATCCGATAAATACTGACGCAAGTCAAAACCAAAACATGTAAGTATCTGCTAGGCCCACAGTGGTTATTCAGTTATAAGATTTGATTCATAAAACTGGTTACTTTTACCGTTTTGATTAAACCCTCCCATTGTTTAATCAGTCATGGACAGTCAAAAAGGGAATCCACTTCCCCTGCCAAGTATTTTACACAGGCCAGTCGCCTACAGTCAGATTATATTTCTTGTAGGCACTTTGACAGTCAGGTTCCATTAACAGATGAAAGCAAGTAACTGGTAGACACAGCTGCCTTGTCAATCTTCTACAGTCAAAACAATACTGTATCAAGGTTTATAACAGTCACAGCCAGTTAATCTTGTTGTTTTTTGTGTGGGTAAGGAGCACTCAACTGTTAAAAACAGTCACTTGGTGTATTTCGACTGCTGGGTTGGCTTCATTGAATTTGCCAGCCAGAAGAGCAAGTTTTAAAAACATATTCTAAAAGGTTTAAAGATTACATGCACAAAAGCTGCTGATTATATTGGCTTCCCTTTACAACGACTGTGTATTGTTTGAACTTTGGACAGCTTATCTCACTGCACAGTGGTGCTTCGTTGCCCTTGAAAGCAGGGGTGTAAATGAGGTATCAATGAAAATTCGAAAAGTCAGTAAGATACAACCAAACTGAATGTTTTCTCGAGTTAACCCTCCTATTGTTTGATCAGTCACAGACAGTCAAACATTTATTTTTCCACTTCCCCAGCCATGCATTTTTATACAGACTAGTGAAAACAGTCAGATAACATTCATGTAAACACAGTGACTAGTCAAATTCCATCATCAGACAAAAGAGGTACAGACAAAAGCGGTGCAGCTGGCATATCAATCACTCCAGTCAAAGCATGGCTATCTCAAATTAACAAGGGAATCTGTAACTATTAAAAAACAGTCACATGATTGATTTTGACTGCTGTAATGGCATAGCTGAATTTGTCAGCTAAAGAGGGAATGATATAGTATATGGGCTTTATTCATGAGTCGGCCATTTTTGTCGAGTTCCCTGAATGTACTTCATTAATTGTTAACTGTTGAATGGGATGGCGCCTGACTATTTATGCAGGCACAAGGCAGCCTTATTTTACTGTCATTTTTTTTTTTAAATATGGCTTTAAACATTAGGGAATGTTTAATTACACATTTTTAATTATGCATTGAAGCAGACTGGAATTTATTATAAATTATCTTGCTTTCATTTATCTTCGCAAGTTCCAAAATTTAAGATTAACTATCAGTTCAATATGGCTGACTCGTGAATAAGGCCCATATTATCCAGTTATGTTTGGATACCCTTGTGGATACTGTACCTTGTACATTGCTAGCTGTCATTTTCTTTGATGGACTACAGAAACAGTTTATATCAACTTGTAATTGTTAAGATAAATGTAATTTGTGGATAGAAATGCTGGTGTGCTGTCGCCGATAGAGCAGAATCCCTACGTGGACATCGGAGCTGACAGACTGGCCCTACGCCTGGCTATCAACACAGCCCAATATGGCCGCACCTTCCAGGACCGCTCCCATGCTTTCCTTATCATGCCACGCCCTGCTGGTGCAGGTCAGTATTAACCCTAACCTCCCCAACTCCATCAAAACCCATCCCTCAAAAATCTCATTTTTTGCCCCTGATTGTTACCAGTAAATTAACACAGCCTGTAGGCTCTCGTTACCAGAGTCATGTGGGTCATTCTGTAAATTTGGGGTCCACTTTTTTGTTACATCTATGATTTCATCATTCTGATGCACTCCTTAATGCAGTCATCCTCCAAGAGTGATTTTGAGTACTAAACTACTTACCCAACAAGTTATACAAAAATTGTTTGATGCGAAGTACCAATGAACAGAGACAGAAAAACTCGCACTTTGGCCCCTAACTTTAATGAAGGACCCATGTACAAATCTGTTTCAGTAATTTATCGATTGTTGAAATCGCCCAGACTTTCCAATCAAACTTCACATGCACACCCTAACAATTGTTGCTTTTGTGATTAGCGCCATTCCCCTTAAACTTGAACCAAAAAGTTCACATCTTAACTATTTTGACCACCCATCCTCCCTTATTTGCAAACAGACATGGCGGCGGCCAAGATCTTCAATCTGAATGTGCGGGGGAAGCGGGGCAACATTGTCCAGGTGTACCCGGCCGTGGAGTACGACTTCATCCCCAATGACTTGGAGATCAACCAAGGGGATCTTGTACATATTCAGTGGACAGGTGGGTTGAATTAGAACGGAGCAAGTGACGAGCAGACTGGGTAAAGCCAATGTGGCCCATCAGGGCGGCGTTTATCTCCGTTTTCAGTAGCATGGAAACGACTAAAAATATTTCTACTCCCCCTGGATGGGATGCTAGTCCATCACAGGTTACTCCCCAGCTAATGCTGGTACCCGTTTACGCTCCTGGGTGGAGAGAGGCAAGTGGGGGTAAGAAGTGGCTTGCCCAAGGACACAACATGTGACCAGCATGCCCATTTATGTGCATTTTAATGTGCAACAGATGATGAAAGTCGCACTTTACAACGTAAAGCTTTACAGCTTTACGTTGTAAAGTGCGACTTTCATCATCTTTAGACAACTTCCGGGATTTGAATTTTGGGGTACTCGGATACCCGTGTGTTACTTTAGTAGGGTAACCGGTTCCTGTAAAATAGGTACCTATAAATGCACACTACTAGGTTATTCCATCCTATCAGAGGGGGCTCACCTAGAAATGTAGTTCAGTATCAACAGGAGGCCTGCTGTTTAAAACCCTCGGAGCAGCTTATCAAAAAAAATCACACCATGGAACCAGGTGGAAAATTTTATTGCCACATGTGTTTATAGGTCAATAACCCTGGCATGCCTGTACATGCACAAGATATAGGTCATTCACATGGCCAGGGATTGTTTACAACCTGTCTGGGCTTCTGGCGGCACGAGGGGTTGACACAAAGGGATCGGCAGCACTTAGGGCTGGCCACTGAGATCACCTATTACTGCACAAAGGCATTGGGCGCCATCTTGGCTTCTGTCTTTCAACACTCCTTACTCCGGAGTGGCTAGGGTCTGGCCATTGGGAGTCTACAGGCTTGTGGTGTATAGTAGGGGTGAAGATTACATGGAAGCTTGGCCTAATTGGCCCATTGAAAAAAAAATTATGCCCATATTTGGAAAATGTGGACTATAAAACTACCGTCGGGTTACTCGGAGGGTTAAAATATCAGAATGTCTTTCCTGTTGGCTTTCTGCGCAGGTTCCAATACCCACAACAACAATGCACCGGGGGGTGATGGACAGACTGGGGATGCTGGTGAAGGGAGAGGAGGTAAGTTGGCCCCGCCCCTGGCCCCACCCCCACAAATGCTGTCCAATAGACCGATCCACGAGGCCCCGCCCCCTGACAGTTGACCAAATTTTAGCCGTGGTTAAAGAGGCATTACGCCTGAAATCCTCGAAAACTGTTTGTTTTGGATTGTTTACATATCCTTTTTCAAAGCAATACCTCAAAACAAAGATAAGGCGCAAAAACAAAATTTGCTTAGTAAAATCAGGATATGGGCCTTATTCACGAGTCGGCCATGTTGGATTGAAAGTGAGGTAAAATCTTGATTTTTGGAACTTGTGTAGAGAAATGAAACCAAGTTAATTTCTGATTAATTCCAGTCTGCTTCAATGAATAATTTAAAATGTGTAATTAAACCATTCCCTAATGTTCAAAGATTTAAAAAAAATGACAGTAAATAAGGCTGCATTGTGCCTTCATAGATAGTCTGGCGCCATCCCATTCAACAGTTAACAATTAATGAAATACATTCAGGGAACTCGACAAAAATGGCCAACTCGTGAATAAGGCCTATTGTTATGCAAAGTGAACATCAGCTAAATACCAGTCACAAGCAATGTACATCGCATGGCGTTTTGGCCGGTGACCTGATTATATTGAGCAGGGGTTTTTTGTGCTTAAGCAAATTTTAGGCTGAAGCAAAAATAAGCAGCTATATGAAACTGGCCCCACCTGGTTGATAGGAAACTAGCCTAATATCATACCGTTCCGGAGAAAAGATGAAAAACCCAGTAGTTTAGATCGGACGCAGCGGACAGTATTGTACCTTTTAGTTATTTTTTTTTTTTTCACATGCGTGGATTACATGTTCGTTTAATACATGCTTCAATGGCGTATCAAATGTAATTGCTTTTCAAGGAAAGGTAATCATTAATCCAGGTCACTTTTGTTTTTGACTCGCCCTCTGTTAGAACTGCATTTTCATACTTTACTTTGTCAGCTGTGACCATGTATGTATGTTTACTTTTTGTTTTACCCTGCAGGCACGGATCGCTCTAACATTGTGCAGATGCTAGACAGACTGGAGAACTTCCCCATGCCCTTTGAGCAGACTACCATGTGGACCGAGGCACAGGTCAAGTGGATCTACACCGGCACCACTAACATGGAGCCCATGGATCTAGCTGTCAACATTGCCAGCTCCGGTTACTACGAGTAAGTCAGAATATCTAAAGATAACTGCTCGTGCTTGTTCTTGTTTGTTTTTGTTTTTTTAATGCTATTTCGTTTTTGCAATACAGAAGTTAGTCACTTGCATATGAGAATCAGCCCACATTTAGTTATGGAATATTAAAGTTTTGTACAACTTTCAAATTAGTTTGGGCTGGACACTAACTCAGTTTTCATGGGGTAGATTGGTTCTTGCCTCCCTTTTACAATGGATAATGCGGGAATGAGAATACAGTGTACTCAAAGGGCAGATTCGTTTGTGTGCACAAGCAGGCCAAATTAAAAAAAAAATTTTGGGGGGGGGCAAGAGAGTTGCAGATAACAAAATCGTCTGTAAATTTAGACAATCAAAAAGTAAAAATTTGTTTGGAGAAAAAACTGGAATTTGTTTAAGGGCATTGACGTTGTAAAGGTTAAATCCCACGTTAAGTTGCAGTCATTCGTGCATTGCCAGTGAAGTAGGCAACTACTGGAGTGTGCACAGAATTCTCATAATTTATGAGGAAAAAAAGATAGAATTCAATTAGAGAATTGATGAGCCCTGGCAACCAAAAGCAAAGTAACAGCACTGCCCAAGTTGTTCCTTCAGAGGCTGAGACAAAAGTGACAGCGTAGCAACTTTTCATTCCCGCCTAAACGTTCTCCAGCTAGGATGTAAAGAACCAACCCGACTTCTCATTGGCTCACAGAGCAAGATTTCTGATTGGCTGGTTACCCCTCCAAGCCTTCTCAGTCATTGGTTAAAATTTGTGGCTCTTGATTGGCTATTTTCCCGATTACCGGATCCCACTCTTTTGTCATAACATTTTCTAGGGGTTTTCGTGTACAAATGTTCTCCATAACAATGTTTACGATGTAGTGAATCGTTGTAGTGATTTCGTACAGCACATAATGAATAGGGGAACGTCAATTATAAAATTTGCTGCTAAAAGCAATTTGATCATTCGGTGGTAAAATTGATTATAAGCAGACAAAAATATACTACAATCAATCACCGAAAGCTTGTAGTGGATGTACACCTCAGCCAGAAGTTTTAAATTTCCTACAGGAATTGAACCTGGAGCCTCCAGCATTCAGATCAGCGATTTAACATATAGTACACGCCACAGCGAGACCACACTTGTAGCTACCCTGCAAATTACATTTTTCATGTTAATCATACAATGCCATTTTCTGTTCATGCACATCAGAGAGATTTTTTTAAGCCTGGTACTTCTGCTAAGATTACAGACCTATGTGTATAATTAATGTATTTATGTTGATTATTCACAAATGCAAACTGTCCTTTCCATCGCACAGGTGCATGAAAGCTGCCACGTGCCAGGGTGATTCGGTCCAAAACAAGAACAAGATGAACAACCTGTTGAACAACGCCCCGGCGTCCTATGGGGGCGCCCTGATCGAGTTTGCGCAGGGCGAGTACTTTTACATGGGCAGCCGCAACAACAACTTCAGCAACCGAAGCCAAAAGGGAAGGCTCATGATCAAGTAGGCGCTCCGAAGACATTGATGACAGCAACGTCTGATTTCAAAGAACACTTTCTTGAAGCTCGGGTTGTGTCCAAATTATAGACCATTGTCATGTTGTGGCCATCTTGATTTGTCCCATTAAAATCAACGTAACCAAAGCGAGGTTGGTAGAAAAATTAGTCTGGTTCCTTTTTGCACACAAAAATTATCATTCAGTACTGTTGTTGGATACAGGGCACATGATCGAAATGGTGGCAGCATGACAAGGGTCTATTGAGGTACCTCCAGCATTAACACACTAGCCGAAAGTTTGACCAGGGAACATGAACTTTGTATGTTATCATTACCCATAGTGACTGGATTTACCACGTAGCTAAATTGTTCAGTTGAATTCCGATAGTGGTTTTCAATAAACTCTGAATTATTCTGCCCAAATGTATTAATGAAGATATCAAAATTATTATGATTTGTATTTGTATATTTTAGATCACACGTCACTCATCTACATGTACTTATAGATAATATAAACTAATCCACTTTTTAGTACTGTCACATGTGCCTTGTTTTTATATATTGTATGTCTTTCATATCAGAGTTATGCATTATTCTAGTAAAATATCGTCTTTATATTTCACATGAATGTATATACCATGTCATATACATGTACTTCGGTTCAAAACAAAGTTTAAGCGAAAAAAAAAAGGAATCCACAAAAACAAGTAATTGTAATTCAATGAAACACTCCTTGTCTACTGTTAATACCGATCAGCATTTTATAATTGTACTGATACTTAATTTTGCTAGTATATTTTTTATTTTCCTATAAAATTAGGTAATGATTGTAAAGTAACACAGAGATAAAGGGCTACATGCAGTGCTTTGCTTTAATGAATATATTTTAAGTACAAGTCTTCACAGATTATATTTGATTACGAATCTCAGTCGAAATGAGTATAAAGTTTGTCTTGGCAGTAGGAACGTTTAAATCACATTTGTATCTAGATCAAATCGAAATGTATTCCTCGTGCACTATTAGGTTGTTTTCTAGAAACTTTGAAGGCACGTTCTGCCTTGAATTTCCATTTCAATGACTTAAATATTCACACCTTCAGAAACTGGTGATACTGCCAAGAATACTGATTACAATGATTCAAATTCCCATCAGGTTTTTATAGTATAATATAAATTGTGCAAGGCATTCTTTTGGGTACTTTCTGATATACAAGTCTGCTGGTTCAGACGTTTTGGAAGTTGGAATAAAACTCACGCAATATTAAAGTGTCTAACTTAATGAAACTTTTCTTGTGTGAACTGTGAACACTGGGGTTAATCGTTGCAAGGGGCTCTCCCAAGCGACTTTGCCAGTACATCAACCGAGTAGAACCAATAACTACATGTACATGTATGTATAAGATTTGTTGAAGATTGAAGACATTACATATTTCATAACTTGTTCCTAATTTTAAAGCAGGCTTGTATACAGAGTTTTACTGTCGCTATATCGTGCAATACTTGCATTACCTACTGCGGCAAGCGTACTTCAAAAGCTAGTTCAATATGCAGGGCCAGCTATATGCCTACATGCGCTGTTTAAAGATATTTGCTTTTCTTATCAAATCGTCTTTAAATCGAGCAAAGTCATACCAATGCAATTTTTAAAAGCCAATTCACATGAAAGCTATAAAAGCAATTGGAAACTAGAAATGTGTTTGTGGACAAACACAAGCTGTTTCGGATATTTGAAACACTCTGTGCACGTGATGAGCAATTAGGAAGTCACTACAAACGCACATATAACAGCACATTGGTACATATCAATTTACAACCAAATCGAGCATACAGTTCTGCAGATAAAGGCCTTTAATAGAAAAGTGCCCCTTTAATGGACGTCACATGACATTTGATGATGCCATCACTTGAATTTTCATCTGTAACACATCCTGGTGTGTGTACATTCAAGTAACAATCCAATCAAACCCATGGTTCTGTAGATATAGGCCGAAGAAAATGCCCTTTTAATGTGACGTCACATGAAATGTGATGACGTCATGATGATGTTACTTCGATTTCCATCTGTAACACATCATCGGGGACCATCTTCGGCTGCTGGTCTTAGTGTGTGCCAAGTCTAAAGTCAATCAGACATGTGAAAGTGCCAGAGTGTATGGTTTGAAGAAAAACGTGTACAAAACCTATGGGGAAAATGTGCATCTTTAATGTGAGGTAACGTGACACCTGATGAAGCACGATCACGAATTTCTCCCACAACCATCTGTGGGTGGTAGTCAAAGGGTGTACCAAGTCTAACATCGATCAGATCTATGAAAGTGCCAAAGTGGAGTGTTTTAAACGTGTACAAACCCTATGGGGAAAAATACATCTTTAACGTGACTTAACCTTACACTTGATGACGTCACGATCACAAACTTCTTCTAGAACCATCTGTGGGTGGTGGTCTAAAAACCGTCTAAGTGTGTACCAAGTCTAACGTCGATCGGATTTACAAAAGTGCCGAAATGGAGCGTTTTAAAACGTGTACAAACCCTATGGGGAAAAATACATCTTTAATGTGACGTAACCTGACACTTGATGACGTCACGATCACGAAATTCGTCTAGGACCATCTGTGGGTGGTGGTCCAAGTATGAATTAATTTTAAAGTCGATCGGATTTACGAAGATGCCAAACTGGAGTGTTTTAAAACGTGTACAAAACATATGGGCAAAAATACATCTTTAATGTGACGTAACCCGACACCTGATGACGTCACGATCACAAATTTCTTCTAGGACCATCTGTGGGTGGTGGTCTAAGTATGTACCAAGTCTGAAATCAATCGGATTTTAAAAAGTGGCAAAGTGGATTGGTAGAAGAAACGTGTGTTAAACCTATGGAGAAAAAGTCTGAAAAAGGAGAAGAAAAAAAAAGAAAAAAAAAAATCTTAACGAAAACAAGAGCTGTTTCGGTGTGTACACCGAAACAGCTAATTATCAAGAAATGAACTTGCAGTGTCACTGATCTGAGGCTCTCGAAACTTGTATCTTCAGTCTTTTTTGCCACTGTATCAGATCCAAAGAGTCAGGGAGGTTAATGCTATAGTACAAACTAAATTCAGTGTATATACAACGATGCGATCCAAAGTGTTCATGAAACATGATCATCAGGCATCGAATTTACTGAAATTACCTTCATTCAAAAATGCGGTGACCATAGTCAACTATTTTGTGACATGGTTCGAAGGAATGTTTTGAAAGGGTTCATCATTCTAGTGAGGTACCTTAGTGAAAAAAATCGTGACACAGTGGACAAAAGCACCATTTTTTCACCAAAGCATCTCCATGGTATACCTTTTCGAAAAAAAAGACGGACGCAAAAAATTGGATGATGGGAAGGGCATGTATGACGTCATTATGACGTCATCAGCTAATTATTACATGAAAAAATATAAATTGATAATACTCTTCAGAACTACAAGCATTACAACAACAAATGTGGTATCAAATTAAAGGGGACAGCAAGCTCTTTCATTTGAGTGGTATGTTATGGGGATGGAATATAGTTAAAGGTGATTTTGTGGGTCAAACAGACCCCTTTTTGGGGTCAAAAGACATGTTTTTAGGCTAAAATCATGGATTTTGGGTAGTCACATTGACACCTTGTTTTAACATGCAAACAGTATGTTGTTTTTAAGTTCGAGAGAAAAGTTCAAATTCTATGCCAAAAGAGTTTTTGTAATTGATTATTAGTATCATAAATATGTTTAAACTTGTTCCAAAGATAAGCGGAAAAGTGAGGCATCTTATAGCGAGCTACATTAGTAACAAAAATGCTATTAGGATCGTTACATACGTCACTATTTTCAAATTTTCTTGAAAAATCTAAGCATTTTTGATTATGGACAAAAGTGCTACAATGACGGTATTTGTCACGCAGAAAATAAATTGTGTGAAATTGTGCGGTTCCCTGAATTAGGTCTTTACCACATCCATTTGTTTTGATCATTTACTATAGCTGGAAGACGTAACCTTCTTATATGTGTTGTATATTACGGGTAATGAGGTATGGGTCAGGAGCCAGACAGAAAGGAACGTGGTAGCCTGAAATAGATTAACAGAGTGGCCGGAAATGATGATGGTATGTCCTTTAACAATGTATTACAAACGGGGGCCGCCCGATAGTCCGAAGGTCCAATAGTCCGTAGGTTCTTTAGTCCGAAGGTTCGATAGTTCAAATGCACAAAACTTCCATCAGAGGGGGTTCGTTGGTCCGAAAATGAAATAAGGTTCGTTAATCCGAACATTTGATGCAATAGTCCGAAGGTTTATTAATCCGAAGGTTCATTAGTCTCAAGGTTTATTTCTCCGAAGGTTCGATAGTCCCAATCGGTGATGTAGTGCCTTGATGCTGGGCCTCGGCCTTGGCCTCGAGGCTTGAGGGCAAAAGTCTTGGCCTTGTCTACTGCGCAGGTGAAAAGTGGAAGCCAAGCATAGCCACAAGGTATGCATGGTACCATTAAAGATAACTTTGTTTTATGAGGTTTTGGAAAGAATGCATGCGAAATGTTAAATGCCGTCATGTAGCACGGACAGGGTAACCAATAACACACATCAATCTGCATGGAATTGAAAACTTGCGGTACTTTATCTGAAAGGAAAAGAGGACCTAATTTTAGCATAGTTAATGCTTTGCAAGTTGCTATCGATTTGTTGCTTCTACAATGTACATGATATTTTTCATATGTGAAGCTTGCTGACTGAATAATGCACCTACTTCAACAGTTACGAGTTTCAAATTTGATAATATAATGAACCTTGCTTTTCAGTGTGGAACAGACCTTGCCAGCTTTATCCAGAGGAGGGACGAGGAATGCAGCAAGACGGGAGTAACTCTCAAGACATACCATGGACCATTTCTTCAGTTCTTTAATGAGGTGACAGTGGCAAAGCTGTTTCGAGATGACCGTTTATGAAATTAAAGTTTTAAAATAACATATTTAAGGTTTTCTGAAAATTTGGGAAGTTCATTTTTCACAATAAACTGATACAAAATAATTTTTTTGTGAAAAGTGACGCAATAACATTTGGAAAGAAACTAAACCTTTTTCAACAGCTTGTTCTCATCTAGTAAATAATTATCTGAAGTTGCTTCCTTTCAAGATGAATCAGAACAATTTATACCAAGTTTTGAAAAATCTACTTTCAAGATTAGGCAATTGTTAATAAGATTTATAATGAATTACAAGACAATTCAGCAAGTCTATCTGTAAAATTGGCAATTTGAAGAAATCAAATGCTGAACTTAAAGTACAAATCTTGAATATCATCCAACTTCTATTGGGGAGAACCACAAGATGGGTTCAAACTCAAAGTTAAAATTGACTGAATCTGAGGGAGAGGGTGACGATATTACGGAAACTAAAATATAACATCCACTTATTAAGCAATGATGTCATTTGATGCAGGCCAGGTCGGTTGTTTTTGTTTGTCTTTTGTTTACAACACAGCGCCAATTCAATCTGCAACAGCAGCGATGCTTCAGATGCTTGCATCTGTTTAAAATTCAAAATTGTAATGTTTTTTGTATATCAAATTTCCACTCTAAGTCAGAGAGCAATGATATTTCATCTTTAAGAATCAATTCAACTCTTAAACTCTCAACTTTATTATAATTTCAAAATGTGAATTCATGCGCTGTGTCCATTGTAAATTTACGTACTGATATTCTTTGAAATAAAACCTACATGCAGAGGATGAACCCCAGCAATTATGTTGGTCTATTAAATCTTTTTAACCTGTAAACTAATTAAACCACTTGGCAACTTTAACCAATAAGATTGGTCTCTCCAAACAATGTAATTGGTCAAACATAACCAATAATATTGGTCATTCCAACCAATGTTCTTGGTCAAATTTAACCAATAATATTGGTCATTCCAACCAATACAATTGGTTATCTTTAACTAATAAGATTGGTCATTCCAACCAATATAATTGGTTATCTTTAACCAATATATTGGTTGTTTTGACCAATATGTGATGGTTAGTACTCTAACCCATGTCGGTTGGTTGAAAAATTAACCAATCAAGACTGGTTATGGATTGGTTGAAAAGGTCACCAATCTTGATTGGTTAAAAAACAACCAAGACATGTTGGTTAGTATTCTGACTAATATAGATAGGTTGAAAAGCAAACCATTTCAGATGGGTTATTTTAACCAATAGATTGGTTGGACACATATCTACCAACCACATTGGTTGAATTTGACCAATATATTGGTT